ATAATGATAAATTCATTTTCATTAAAATATTAAAATTTGGCAATCCGACATAAATGAACACATTGGTGACGATCACCTTCTGACCAGTATTTCTGAGAATATTAATAAATAAATATACAGAACACCGCCTCTCAAAGCGACCATTATTTCTGACAATATAAATAAATATTGATATTAGGCATTATTTCAATAAGATGACCGTCTCTGTAAAAGACCGAAATTTCTGGAACCATTCATTATCCCTGGAGATATTTTTTTGCTGCAAAATTATTGCAAGGCTGTAGTTCAATAGCATTAACAATATACGAGACTGAAAAGCATTTTCTGTCTTGTAGTTTGAATATTTTTTTTTCTAATTTTGTTTACATCTGTAATCTGCAAGTAATTATAATTTAATAAATATTGTAAAAACAGTTAACCCATGTATAAATAAATTTTTTAAATGCCACAAAAAAGAATAGCAATTAAAATTAATCATGAAATAAAAAGATTAACTTGGATATCAACATTTCTTATTGAACAGTATTTAGAAACTCTCAGAAAAATACATATTAAAATTTAAAGAATGTACATGCTTTCAAATGTGCAAACTCGAAGAAACAAAACTAGTAAAACTAACTGAGAACGAATGTCTTCAGAAAGTTGGGCAATGGAAATCGTCTGCAAAATGCAGTATGAATATCCTCAGGATGTGAACTTGGCAAAATCCTCAAGACACTTGAGAATCAACATCTTCATGATATCCTCACATATCCCGTGACTTAGCATCTTAAATAAGACATCCTCAGAAAGTTTAATTATGATGTCCTCAGGACATCTCAGAATCAACATACTCAGGATATCCTAAGTATGTCCTCGATATTGCAACTTATATAGGAAATCCTGATGATATTCTATGCTATGGGAGAAATAAATGTATACAAGTTTTTCTGAGTTTTGACAGGTGGGGATGAATCAGAAACTACAAAAAATGATATAGCAATGTTGAAAGGGATTCATGAAGGGAAGAAGTTGAAAATCACTGCTCTACTGAAACATAAAGAAATTTAAAAATGCTAATATTTACATAATACTGAGTATCTGTTTGCAATCTAATGAGAGTTATGATAAATAAGAATTTAACTAATAAAAAATATGCTAAAATTCAATTGCAACTCAGTTGTTTTAAATTATATCAAGGCAATATATACAAGGGCTCAGTGATAACCGATTGAACATCTTTAATAGGCCTATTTCTTTAATAGGCATATTTACCCTCTTTTTAAGAAACTGAATCACGGAATAAAACATATTACGACATTCTTATCATTTAGATTGCATTCTGAAGATCTGATAATGAGCTGAAATAAAAAGAACTCATGTAAAAGTGAAAAAATGATACAACACTACATCATATGCAAATTCAAAATTATATTTAATTGGATGTTGTGACAATTTATTTAAAAGTAGCCATATAAGATGACACATCTAAACACAGGATAATTACGACACACGTCACAATAAAATGGCTCACTGTCTATATTATATAAACATGGCTGCAGTTCACTTTCGACAAAAGATTTTACAGGACAGTCAACTGCAAGATGGTAAAACATGCATCAAAATGACTTTTTCTGCTTTTTAAACTTTGTGAATTATCTAGATTATTTATTATGCTGATGATGATGGTTTATTTTACACGTTAAGAAAAAAAAAAAAAAAACTAGCACTTTTAAAAGTGAAGAGCAATAATTAATAACAAGAAGGTAACAAACAACACAATTTCACACAACATACATTACTACAACAGGCTACAGCTGTAGCACAACAATTATTGAAAACTTTCTGATTTGCAATATTAGAAGGTTATACTCACTAATCATTAAACTACATTTCTATTGATATTTTATACTTTCTGAAGGTGGTGTTAAAAACGCAGTCCTGCTTTGATGACTGTATCTACATATGATATCAGCAGTATAATTGGCCTCACAACTTTTCCAAGTGTTTTACTGAATAAAAGTCAACTATATAAAAATTCGTACATTTCACTGTTCCTGACAGTCGACACTGTCCGACATGTAAAATGTAAGAAAGCATAAAAAGCTGTTATATCACACATTTACTAAGCAGTCTGCAAAATATTACATTTTTAAGAATTTTAAGTGTCCTTTTTCATTTTAAATAATGTAATGGTCAATATTTTCAAAACTGAAATATTATGTAATAAGAAATTTCAGCAACTAGAATGAAAATACATTAAAAATTTTACATGAAAGTTATTTAGTACACATGACTGAATTATTTTGCAGGTAATAATATACAACTAAAAGCATACAATGATTGTATTATTAAAATATATAATTGAGCATAATATTAAGACATTAATTAATATAAAGAACAAAGAATTATAAGTTATATCATCCAGGATAAAATAGCAAAATGCAAACTTTTATAAAATATTCAATTAGTAATATTTTGAAATAATTAAAAGGCAATAATGAAAGCAGAAATATTTTTAGGTAACCATGATTTATGAAACTCAATTTACAAACTACATACACTGTCATTAAATAATTTTAAACTAATATCCTATAGATGCTTTTGTAAGCAGCGAGTGGACAAAGTAGATGTACACTTACCGTAAATGGTCATTATGATTTTTACTTGGGGGGGGGGGAATGATCACATAAACAAGCAAGGTCAAAACTCCAACAATTTGCAGCATTTTTCCAGCTAATTTATTGAACAGAATTTTGCTGAGGCAATAAACTGCCAAAATATTGAATTCATAGTTTCTGAAATATGCCAGTTTAGCTGAAATTTTTTATCATCAGAAATCCAGTAATATAATATAAAAAGCTGTTTAACTTGAATGTTTCGAGCAGTAGCACATTTTATTATTATAAATTCATCATATTTTATTATAATTAAAATTATGTTTTAAATCATCAACTTTGAAATTGTATATTATAGAAGTTTCAACACTAAATAGAAACTAAACAATATATAATAGTCTTTGGAAAAGTTTTGGTGTGCAATGTTTCTTATATATATAAATAACAGCAAGCAAATTTTTAGATACATATATCTAAAAATTATAATAAAAGTAAAAAGAACAAACGAAAATAGACCTATGTGGTCAAAAACTTTGCGCACCGAGCTGCAAAATTTAGAAAAAAGTTAAAAGAAAATTCCTAGTTCGTACGCTAAAAAGTTGCTTAGATACTGTGGTTCCGTGAAAATATTAACATAAGTAAAATAAGGTGCAATGAAATGTGTAATAAAGATAAAATAAACAATACATACACTTGAATATTTACAAATAAAATTCAATACTAATATTGAATACTATATTGAACTCAATACTGAATTTTATTTGTAAATATTCAAGTGTTTGTATTGTTTATTTTATTGCACGTTATTTTACTTATGTTAATATTTTCACGGAACCACAGTATCTAAGCAACTTTTTAGTGTACAAACTAGGAATTTTCTTTTAACTTTTAAAAATTATAATATATATATAAGGGGGAAAGAGAAATAGAATTCAAAGGGGGGAATTTAACAAATTTCCAAAAATTTCTATTTTTCTGTATTTACTTATATGCTTATCAGTAAGAACTCGAAAACAGCACAAAATTAGAATAGTTCGGCTTTCTCAAGTTCTGTTTTCATTTTTTTTTTATTCTCACATGTTATTATTGTAATTTATACTCTATTAATTTACTATCAAAAACATTTACTTATTTTTCCTCACACAGCCAAGTTTATTATTAGTTTTGAGTTTTATCTCACTGACAAAGAGGAAAGGGAATAGGGAAAATGCAACCTTCAGAGAAATACATTAAAGGGACTTTTGTAAACAGAATCATTTTTAATGTCTCTTATCTTAATAACTGCTGACATAGTTAAAAAAACATCAGCGTGATTTAGAACACACATAATTTTTTAATAATAAAACATGATTTAAATTTTAGTCGTTGAAATTCCAATACAGTACCTTTCAGAAAAGAGCACAAAAACTAAATTATTTAAATGTGCTACTAGGGAAAAATATTCCACATACATAACTGTTAGCTTTATTTAAAACTGAGAAATATGGCACAGCCAAAACATTTTCAGTCCAATAGGCTACATTACTTGATTCAATTTTTAATCTCTTCAAGAGCCAGAGAGATTAATTTTTGATTTACTAGGGCCATCTTACAAGATATTAAGGCAGCTTATTCTCCCTCCCTCCATGAAAGAGCTGATCTTAGTATATTGTTCTGAAACAGACTAGTCATTAAACAGTTAAATTTACTTGTTTTGTTCTTTAAGTTTTACATAATTTATCAATTGGCAGAGATGTTACAAAATATTAATATGATATCTCCGTAAATATAACATTTACGATCTACCTTATGTAACCTACAGTAAACAAGAAGAAGAATGTGAAACTCTTTCTAATACTTTTACTGCCAAAATATTTGAACTATAGTCTAAATCTTAGTTTTCACATTTTGGCAAACCCAAATCGCATAATGATAGGCAAAATGTTACAAATAATCCAAACATACAGGGCGGTATAAATATACTTTTGCTATTTTAACTCTGGATTTATATAACAAAACATGTAAATTAATTTAACATATTTTATAACTTTATTTAATATCTAGTAATGAAAACGAAAATTTTTTCTATTTTATAAGAAACTATTCTAAAATATACAGCTTTGGGAATGTCAGAATGTTCATAAAATATTCAAATATGTACTCAAATGATGCAAAATAAATTTCCAAAGTGCACAGATATACAACTATCAATTTTTAGTTCAAAAACTGGATCAGATTTACAAGAATTCCAGTTAATCATCAATCAAGTATAAGCCAATCACAAGCAATATGATAGTAACAGCTGAATCTGAGAAATTCATTTATTATTTTTAACAGGGAAATTTGCAGCATACTCCTAAAGTGCGTTGGTCAGAATATGTTGATTCATGTTCCATAAAAATACTTTTAATTCTTCAAGAAGTATGATATCCATATTATGGAAAAAATTTGCAACACTAATTGCAGCATAACAATATGCTGCATCAAATAACAGGTAACAACAGATGTAAAAATGTGTCTAAAGTGAGCTCTGTGACTCATAGCATAGTGTATCTCACAGCAGGTTATGTAGGAAAATACAGTCTTTTTTGTGAATTTTATAAAATTAAATTAATTCTTGAAAAGCAGTGCACATAAGCAAAATATATACTTTTAAAAAAGAGTTTTCACAAACAACAAAACACAGTGTTTAACATTTGAAAAACATTTATAAACATGATTAAATATCATTCTTCACATCAATAAATCCTAAAACATTTAAGTAAAGACACAGTAATCAACCAAGCTACAAAAACATGAGTATCAAGAAAATTGACCAACAAGGCTTGCATAATTCTCAACAAGCTATTTGTGCATTTCAAAAGATGCACCAAATATGATAATCCCATTCAGTGATTTAATTAACCATTCAGCATTTCTTAGGCATATCAACAAACTAAAAGATATTAGTATTCTATGCACATACATTATGAGAACATTTAAAATGACAAGCTTAGTTACTAATATGAGCACATTAAGAACTTCATATAACTAGCATTATAGGAATTTACATTCCCTTCATAAATAATTTAAATATTACTTTTGCATATAAAATGTTCACAACTTTCATTATAGAAAGTATTAACTTCACAGACTTTTATAAACAATATTAAAACAAATCAAGAAATACACACAGAATACATACTTAACAATTAGAATTTCATATAAATAAAAAGATATTAGTTAATCCCTACTCACTACATTTGCCTACTAAAAAAATATAAGTGCAATAAAACCTCTTAAATTATGCCTCAGACTTGCACTTTTTTTTTTTTTCTTTTTTAAATATTTTGCAATGACCTTCAGGAACTTCAACATCAGATGTGTCCAGTATAATTTAGATTCTTAAACTATCTTAAACAGCTACACAGTTTACAGAATGTTTTCTTACTATTCTCTTCATTATTCCACATAACAAGCTAGACCATTTCTTTTTTTGAAACCTGACAAAAGTTTATTTTTTTCTAAAAGTTCATTAGTGCAGGAAAATTAAAGGTTGAATAACATTTGCTAAAGTGTTTAAATTAATCAAATTTAAAATATGGCCAGTCCACATTCAGTAGCAAAATTTAAGCAGCTCTATTAATTTAAGTACTTTATTCTTAAAAATTTATATGCAATATATTAAGGAAGATACATAAATTAGAAAGTTTTAATAAATACCTCTTAATTTTGATATTCAAGTTTCATAAGTTGTTTTTTATCCAAAATTTCAGCCCAGTTTAAGAAAATCACAGCTCTTCGGTACTAATTTATAATTTTATCAATAATCAATTATACCCTTTTTAGGGTATATGAAGTGATGGCCTAAGAACACTAGTGAACAATAAATTAATAGAAGAAATGTCAATATGAATAATAACACGTTAAGTTCACTGACAAATGCATAAATAAATATTTTTTTATATATTTAATAGCTGTAATAGCATTCAGTTTCCCAACATATCTAATTTTTTCACATATTAATAAAAGCATTAAAAATCATAAAACCAATTCTGATTAATAATATTCACAACCCTTCAAATGCATATACAACCCAATACAAGATTCTGTTTATACTAAAAATATTTTGTAAATGTGTAGTAAATTTTTAGGCCATCATATTGCATTTCTTCTAATAAAGTACCTGCAAGATTGCTAACCAATTTTAAAAGATTACATAGCTGCCAACTTTAAAATATGAACAACTGAAAGGTTTTCGACCTTGCTGTGATAAAATTTCATAACAACTCCAAATTGACTTAAATTCACTTATGATGATATAACACTATTGATAATAAAAGCATGATTCATATTATTATATAATTCATACGTAAAATATATCAATACTTAATCACACGTTCTAAATTTTATGTTCTTTTTATAATTTTACTTTGTAATTTTCCTACTTTTTATAGTTAAAAAGTCCTGAGGGACAGAAAACTGTTAATTATTGAAGCATTTTCAAAAACTATGTAAATATAAAGACATAAAAAATAGTATTTAGATAAACTTAGTAATTTATTACAGATAAAGGTATGACAAAATTAAGTACAAATATTTACTGCTTAAACATGGGTTGAATTTCTATAAAATCTTCACAAATGTGGTATGTTAGTACAACTTAGGTTAAATAACATTTTACAACCTGAACTGAACACATCCAGTGTAGACATTTTATAAGAAAAAAATATACTAAAAATTAGTACGTGTGAAGGTATGGAATTTGCCCAATTCAAGTTTCATTAGTTCAACAAATAGCTGAGAAACATTTTTAAAAGAAAATTTAATAGCTTTTGTAAGTAAAAACTGGCAGATTTAGTTACCAAGAAATCTTATGAAAAAACTATAGTGTTGGCAGTTATTAAAACCATAATATTCAACCTAAATTTGAAATTTGTTTCTTTTACAGTTAATTTGTATACAAAGCCACAGTTAAACTCCAGTTCTGTTCAATGAATTACACTTTTTTAAGATTTAAAATCGGTAATAATAAGGATTAACTTCAAAAACTGATAGGATGAAAAGCAACTGTTGGTCAATATTTAATATGCAATAGGTTTATTTAAATAAAAAAGAAAAGCAAAATAAACTAGCATATAAATTCTCACTAAAACAAAAATGACAATCACTAAATAATGAAGCTTAAAGCTACTGAAGAATCACACACAAATATTAAAATACATACTATCTACGCCATCTGGATGAAATAAAAAAATACTAACCTAAGCCATAAGGAACATAATATAATAGAAAAATGTTAAATAACCAAACTAATTATAAATAAAGGTAAATATCACATACACAAATATGATAAATATTAATGACACAAAACAATTTTAATATTTAATAGTATGTTTAAAATATATTCAATTAAAAAGGAAATTTTTATAACTAATAGATAGACACATCTTTAGATTAAATAGAAACTCTAATTTTAAACACAAAATAAATATAGTAATAAGGGAAAATATAACAAAAAGGTAATTTCAAAACTCAGCAGACTCGTACACATAAACAATGAGTAATACTTCAGTTCGTAAATGAATGAAAAAAAAAAACATAGTAAGGGTACATAAGTAATAGATATACCTCTAAAAGTATATAGAAATTAGTTTTAGTTACAAACACAAAATAAATATAGTAATAAGAGATAATGCAACAAAGGAAACTTTAAAATTTAGAAGGCATAAAAAAAATGAATGCGACTTTGTTTCATAAATCAAAACTACATCTAAAAGGTTACATAAGAAAGAAGCTAAGTGCCAATAAAAGTTTTTGAAATTAAATACAGTTTACAATAGTTAAGAAAATAACATAATGTTAATTACAGAAAAATTAACATAAACAGAGAATATATGAAATGTTGCAGCATCAAACTCACTGATGCACTGCAAGTAATGGACAGAAAATGTGATATTATGCACAACTACAATACAGTGTATCACACATAATTAGAAAAAATAAGGTTAATAAAACAGAAAGTACATTAAAAGGTTTCAGAAGAAAGTTTCATAGGCTTAATACTACAATATTTGGCACTTAGAAACTTTCTTTGTTTCTTTCCCCCTTTTTTTTTCTCTTTCTCAGTCACATTTAAAATTAAAAAGAATTGCATATCATAGCCTACATTATGCATATAACCACTATAAGTCCTTGGAGGTATAAATTACACAAATGAGTATTCTAAATAACAAAAATGGACAACAATGTTTCACTTCAAACTTTATTCACTTTCGCTCAATATAATGACAAAAGTGTTTATCTATAGATTTTTCCTCATCAAATACTTGGAGTAGCTAAAGTATTTGCAATGCGCTGCCATAGTTCTTTCTTGCAGGATTTTGTACGCCTCAGACTTTGCAGGAGTTCATTAAACTGAACTATTCCGCCAGGGGTGAGTTGAAAAGCAGTGCGTGCACTTCGAATAATGCTCACAAACTCATCATATTCTGCTGGTGTTATATGGTACATTTTGAAATGAGTACAAGCAGTGAACCTAAAAAATGAATATATAAATAAATAAATTTAAAAATAAATAAATAAAATAATTCTACATCTTCACATGTATAAAACCCCTAGTTTAGAAACACTTTTTTAAAAATTTAACTACTGGAGCCTAATTTGTGAACATTCATTAAACAAGATGAAGACATAATGACTTTTTTAGAATGCTAATTTAGCCCAACCAAAGTCTAGTTACTATTATTATATCAATAATAAAGAAAGAATAGCAGATAGAAATTATTACAGATAAATATTATACAGCAATTATAGGCAACACATATCTGCTATTAATGAGCAGCAAAATCAAGTGACAGTGTGCTAAGCATGAGTTGCATAAAATGAAGTTATAAAGTTGTCATGAATAACAAAATTAAAAAAACCTGACATAGTTACCACATGACTTCCTTGTACGGACTCTTAAATTATATACATTTTTTGCTGCACTTCATTTAAAATTTATTTCATTATAGATATAGTTCTCATTCAATCAATTCAGTTCTTTGTGGCAAGGCAAAAATACATAAAAACTCAAAGCATCTTCATTACAAATTTTAAAATATAGGAGGGAAAACACCAAACATAGTTAAAAAAACATTTTTTGCAATTAGAATTAGAGTTTCTGTGGCCAGGGCCGGCACCACAAGTAGTGCAACCGGTGCGACTGCACTGGGCGGCTGAAATCTTAAAATCAAGTGAAGCATCAGGAAAAAAAATTTAGGGATTGCAAAATTTTTAAAATTTAAGACACACACTGGCAAGCAGAATTTAAGGGCAGCAGAATTTTTAGAATTCATTAGAAGCACTGAGCAGCAGAATTTATAACCTGCAAAGACTGCATGGGGCAGCAAATTGTATAGAACTGGCCCTGTCTGCAGGAAAGTAAACAATCTGGCTAACACACAGAAAGACAATATTTTGGTGCACGTTTTTAGTCCAAAGGGGCAGAGGGACTATTAATTTCATGGCATTTTGCATTGTGTCACTATAAATGTCGGTTCACTTTTCAAATTGTTGCCGTCAAATATTAGAGCCCTGCCATTAATATTTAAAGAAATTAAATAATGAAGAAACTACATTAATGTAAATATGTTTCTCGCATCGCGATAAAACAACAGTACGTAGAGCCATCAAATTTTCAATAACGTAATCCTCCACTGAATATGAGCAGCTGGAAACCTGAATCTAGAATCTGTTTTATTATTGATTTCATAATTTGTAATACTTTAACAAATTTCTGATTAACAAACTCAATGATTTCAAAGCGAGTAACGGCAACAGTGTACGGAAAAACATTTTTATATCCAGCGCACGAGACTGTGTATCGGAAATTCTAAAGATACGTTCATCTTAAAATTATTTTGTGATATGGCAGTTGAATTGAATTTCATGGTTTTAAGTGAAAAAACATGATATTTAATAAATAAAGGTAACACACCAAACATTAAAAAAGCCCCCTTTGGGCATAATGTAAAATCGAAAGCATTCATAGTTCTTTATTTATTTTTTTAATTTTGATTTTATAACTTTTTTTTTAATTAAGAAAAAATAAAAAATTCCTCATGTACCACGAAGTATTGCACAAGGCTTAATAATAATAAGCAAATAAGCCAATACAATGCAATTCAACAGTAAAAGCATAATAAACTTAACTTTTGGGCTCACTGGCCAGAGTGTCACTGAAGTTAATTCACCAATTAATTTAATTCACTATACTACTAATAGACTCAATGAACAGCTGTCGCCTACACTTTAAATCGTTGATAATTCAATAACTATTGCATGCAGATTAACTAAATTTATAATGTAACGATAACAACAAAGAGCTCCCTGAGCCAGGTAAGAGGGTGTGTGTAACATATATATGTGTGTTTGGTTCAGTTATGCCAGATACATGCATACATACATATAGATGTCATGAAAAAAATCTCTTTTGAATAATCTTTTACAACTCATTTTAGAAAAAATAGTTCTTTACTCCATCTGTATGTGCAGATGTCTTAAAAAAAAAATTCAAATGGATTCCACAGTGGTCAAAAGGGATATTTTTGTTGAAATATATAATACTCAAAATTTTTCACAATTGCAATACTTTCTTTCCTTTATATTGGGAAGTAAAATTTTATCCACTTCAGTCATTAACAAATACGAGTATAATATGTCAATCATGATTGGGAGCATAACATTACCTTGAAGAAAATATTTACACTTTTTGTGTTCGATAGAAATTTATCATAGGTGCTGCTACAGTAACTATGAATAAATACGGTTTCCTTATGTCATTTAAAAAAAATATGAGAATGAAAAAAAAAAAAAAACGAAGAATATTTGTGCCCCACTGCTAAAAAAGTTCAGAGGGTGCATATACAGTGAATGATACATCCATAATGACAAGCACTAGATGCATAAAAATAAGTAAAGCAGTGCACTCAAATTGCTATAATACTTGTATATAGATGATACGTTACTAAAGGAACCTGTTCATAATTATTCATTAAACGAATGCCTGACCATCCCAAGTTCATATATATTGCAGTTAATTATTATCCCGAGAAAAACTCGGGCGAAGCAGAATTTGTCAGTAGGGTTTGTTTTATTACGGTTTTACACGGCCTGGAGGAAATGAAAGGAAATAGTCAGCTTTTATTGGCAGTTTACCAAGTTTTGTCGGTTTTGCTATTATTTTGATGGGACTGGTCACATGTTTTCCCTATTGTCTAGTATATGTCGGCTTGTGGATTAATAATGTATAAAGAATGATAGTTGCGTTGAAAAAAGTAAAATAATGGCGATGATGCAAGATAGCGAAACCGATGATTTTTCAGATAATGATTATAACCTCTAGGCATTTTCCAGATGCTATTCCTGCTACTGAAAAAAATCAAATCCAATGAGTTAATGTTCTCTGTGCTTGCGTTAAACAGATTCCAGAGATAAGCCAGTAAGAAAAGAGACCGGATTACCAGTGTATAGAATGTCAGGTATCACTTTGTGTTGTCCCTTGTTTCAAAAACTATCATATAACGACTAATATTTAATTTTTTTATTTGCTCGAGATAACTCAAGACAGTAAACTAATATTAAAACTAAATGCTTTTACACCTGTAAAAAATTTAAAAAAAAATTCAAATGGATTCCACAGTGGTCAAAAGGGAAGCAGCTAATGTTTGGTATCTTTACTGGGATTAGATTGAAGGAATTAATTATAAAACTTTGTTGACCCTGTATAAAGACAGAGGAGAAGCAGGAGTAAAGGAACTTTATTACTTTACTAAATTCAAATCTATACATATAAAACCACATGGGAGTTTGTAGCTGAGAGTAGACAGCAATTAAAAGAAACTAACAGTTCCAGATATTCAGACTTCCTTTTATTTAAAATCTTGATCAACACATAGTTCACATGACCTTCTACAACTCATTAACTAGCTTCTAAGAAAACAAACCAGTGACAATATATTTTACAAGAGATTACTTTCAAGTTTTCATATTGGAAGTAAAATAACAGTTTATTAAATGCTTAAAAGATAATAAGCACTAAATAATAATTCATTATTTCCATGCTTAATTATCTTATAAATGGTTAAAATTATCTGAATATTTCTAATGTAAATACTATTTTAAATTATACTTTAATTTTAAATGTTCTGTACTATATATTTCCATAAGTAAATTAAAAAATGTAACATAACTGAAAAAGAAAAAAATAACGAGAAGAGTAGTGAGAAGTGAAGAATACATGTAGTAATCCTCCCACATACAAATCATGGCCTTGACTGTTCGAGGCACGGAAAAGAACCATATTTTTTTTTTTATTTTATTTTTATTTATTTATTTATTTTTCTGGCAGACTGTTATCATGAAAAATCAAAGTAAGACACAGATTAAACATAATTTTGGATTGTGCTCATTTTCTCAAAGATTAGGTATAAATTGGACATTTTTTTCCATTAAGGTTTAAGCACTTTATACCTGTTATGAAATCTTAAAGGACTGTTAACTGGGATAATTTAGTGTTTCTGAATATGTTTTTAACCTTCTCGGGGAGGGGGGGGATTGGTGAAATTTTTATTAGATTATAACTGCTTCAGAATGAGATCTAGGTTTTAAGGTTGCGGTAAATTCCGATTTGCTTCTGTTAGAAGGTGTTATTTTGTCCTTGTCAGGAAAAAGGTTCTAGTATTATAGATTTTGTAGCTAGCAATTATTATTACACTGAAAATAAAAAGTTCCAATGAGAATTAAGTTTCTCTCCCCACGCCCCAAAAAAACTTAATTTCTTTATTATGAAAAATAATGTGCATCAGAAGGATTTAAATAAGGTAATTATGTTTTAAGCTCAGATTTTTCAAAACTATAATTTTCTTGCCTGTACACGATTTCTCTGAAGCAGTTGGCCAGAATTAAAAAAAAAAAAAAAAAAAAAAGACTAATTAACCTATGCGAGTTATCAAATGATCACCTATTGTGCTTCTCGTTTAAAAATTTTAGAAATTACCTTTAATTTTATGTTAAAAAGTAGTGAATATTGAAGTCTTTAAAAAAAATTATGGGAGCTATTTTAATTGCACATTATTTTTTTAATTTGAAAAAAAAATCAGCTTAAATAATTATTTGTTTATCAATAATGTTGTGCACAGTATACATCACAATTTCATATATGTGACAAAGAAGGTATTTTACTATTATTTCAGATAATTTAGCATTTTGAACGTACAGGAAAAAAAAAACAATATCCCACATACTGAAATATACAAAACTTTATGATTACAATCCAATTGCTAAGCTTTAAAGTTTCATTTTTATATTTTTATTAGATTTATATAATTTTTGGTATATTTGGATATTTTAAACATGCTTGAAGCCTTAAGTTCAAAATAGTAGAAGCAGCAGCTTTTACAGACATGCAAAATATTGAAGAAAATATACATACAATGCAAAGACTGACCATGTCTTTTACTTCACAGGACAGGGGGGGAAAAATCAATTAAATTGTTTGTGTTAAAATAAGAAATAAAGCAAATTGTAATTTCATCTTTCCAAAATGCAACATTCTAGTTTTTCTTTACCGCAACAATTCAACATGAACAAAATTGCCTGCCTCATAATTAAATGCAAAATATCATTTATGAATTTTTTTGCATGTAGTGCTAATGTAAGTAAAAGTACAAAAACTGCTGCAAATAGGTATTTAAAAATAATTTATCCAATTTCCATCATGCTCACCACCCACAACTCACAACATGTACTAATTCAGTCAATTAATAATATGTACTAATTCAGTACTACAGTATTCACAATATGTACTAATTCAGTCAATTAATAAGTCAAACAACAAAAATCAGTGTTATATTTTCAAAATTTTCACAGGACTAGTTTCGATGGTTTTAGCGAACCACCATCCTCAGCTGCAAAACCGCAAATGGACTTTGTGGTTTTGCAGTTGAGTTCATTTGTGGTTTTGCAGCTGAGGTCTAAGGTCTTTACATCTAAGGTCAATGTATTTGCAAGCACTTTACATTTGGGATTTGTTTTGTGACACTAGTATTAATAACATGGTCAAATATGGAATATATATTTAATTCTGTAGTAAAGCCTCTTTTAAATAATCAAAAAGTTTAATTATTGCTTGGCCCTTTCCTCGCAATTCTTAGTTCATCGAGATGTTTAGTAGTCAGAAACATTAATTTGCATAACCATTTTTTATCATCCAATTTGGAGAAAAGTTAATTCTTTTCATTAAAAAAACTTTAATGCATTCCATGCATGACACAAAATATTCAAGACATTACCTCAACTAAGCCAATGGACATGGCTGCATGACTACATATGTTATTTATCACAAAACATATGCTATTCAACAAATGAATTCTATATGCACATTCATAGATGATTTTATCCATATAGCCACAAGCAATGAATTTGCATCAGCTTTGAATCCAAATTTATTACGAAAAGTTTCTCTAAAATACCGAAGAACAATCTTTCTAAAATAACCATTTTTCAATATTATTCCAAATTCCAAAAGATAATTAATTGACAATCCCAAAAGATGATTTCATTGATATTCCAAAAGATTATTTCATTAACCTATACAATTATTTTCAAAACAACAGCAGTGGTGTCGTGGTCAATCAGGACATTCATGCAGATAACATAAAATCTTAAAAGAACAGTACTCTATCACAAAAAATGTGTAAATCTTCATATAATCATATATAGCTCATAGCCATATATAGCTTATAGCTTCATATAACAGTGTGGATACTGAGAGATATTTTAGTATTTATAAAATCATAGTTGTGGATAAAATATTAAGACCTAAGGAAGAGACTACTGAGATTACAGTGATGTTAGCTTTAAACACCAAAGAACAAAGATTTATATTCCTTTTCTTACTATTTACTTTTTATATTTATTCCATACGGCTTTACTTTATTTGATTCAGGAATAAAGGCAAAATTTTCATTTTTTAAAAACTTCCCTTTTTTTTAATACAAAAATTATGTATCCCTGATTATAATACATTAACAGAGCTTTTTACTGTGAAAGCATTTTTTTTTTTTTCTCTTTCAAAGTTTATACAGTTTATTTTTTACAGTTAAAAAGTTAAAAAGGCAGGCTGTCAGTCAAAATTTCAGATTGACTACTATTTGAAGGTCTAATGTTAAAAATATCAAAAGCATACTTCAGTATCTCAAATCAGCACTAACAGAATCTAGCCTGACCACACAATACTACATTATTCAGAGAGAGAGTTTTAGATAACTGATTAAAAAAATAACACAAAATACATAAAGCATTGCATTTCAGTGGAATGTAAATAAATTATTTTAAAGAGAACGATGAAATAAGAAACAATATTTACATTTGTTGACACTTTTGGATCAATGGTGTGAGTAAATGTGAACGTAATGGTTGTGGAAGAGGTGTTGTAGAATTTCGAGCCAAATATTGTGCTGCTTCAACAACTATTTCATGAAGTACGAATGGACTAGCAACACTATTGACAGTACAGATGCAAAAATCTTGCAAATATGAAGTTCCTGCAAAAAATGAAAATAAAAATAAGGACTAAAGGTTTATAAATAAAATAAACAAAGCGACTTAAAAATTACCACAAGAAAGAATTAAATCAAAATAAGATTAAAAATGCATTCAAAAATAACCTTCACCTTATAAGGTATTTCTCCCACTTCCCTAGCGTGCCTTTGTGGTGTAACGGTAGCACGCTGGGCCGGTATTCCAGAGGTCCGTGGTTCGATTCCCGGCGAAGGCGGTTGCTAATTTTTCATCTTGCCTGCTTCTAAAATTTACCTAATGTCTCTACAACCTTGATTAGGAACACCTACACAAGTTTTAACTTTACCTAATAACAGTTTTTATTTTACACAGGGAGAAGGGAATCATGTTATGGGATCTCAGACATTTGCTTCCTTATATTTTAAAACATTAACTACACAAACATTATATGAGCAAATGTAATTGTTAAATTATATTTTTCAATTAAAAACCAAGATTTTAAATATTCTGGACCCTCTGCGACATTTTGAATACCATGAAAAAATTTTAGGATCCTTCACAGAAAGAAACTGCTGCGATAAACGAAGTGAACTGATGAGATAAATAAAGTGAACCGATGAGATAAATAAAGTGAATGTGGGTGCCAAGCTACAGGTTCATCATACTCAATCCATTATACCTCAAAAACTCGACACAGACATTCACGCACATGAATGGTATAATGAGCCAAAAACTCCATGTTAGAACCAAGAATTATGACGGATGCTCACAGAATATCAACAACTAAATCAAGCATAAACACTTTAGCATCAAGTCAGGGAAGTAACAAGCATGGACAGACTAAATTGTCAGACATGATAGCCACACACACATTAATGACAAAGTGGTAGTGGTTGTAAGGCTGCAGCATATGCACAATGTGCCATACACTGGCTTGAGGTGCTCCAGTTACAACAGCACCACACATATGCTTGGCCATGGATAACATATCATCCAAGATGGGAATTCATGCTAACCAGTATTTACCAGGTAGCCTGCATCCTAATCCTAAAAGATCCATGGGACTGTTCTTTCAATACATATAGTGAACTGTTTTCGTTCAAAAAAAAAAAAAAAAAAAAAATCATCAGGCTATTGCCCAAATTTGGCATTAAGCACACTTTTATTCACCCCATGGGTACAGCGATATATTTTCCTTTAAAAAAGGTCAGGGAATCTGCACAAATTCAACAACCTGCTGCAAATTGCACTTCCACAAAACTCAATTGTTTAAAAAGCACAACTTCATAGAACGTGAATTTTTGCATTTTCTATTGTTGGATAAAATACTGTATTTCTAAAGAAACGCAATTCTTTTTTTATCAGCTGGAAAACTCTACAGTCCTATAACAATTTGTAATGGGGTGGGGAGTGCTTAATGTAAAAACAAGCATCGAATTTGGAGGGTTGTATTTGCACACCTGTATAAGTTGCCACATGGTGACACCATGGGTTGAAAATTCCTTTCTGCAGATACAGTGCGTTGCCTCATAAATACTTTTTGGGAGACAGGGTGCAGATGATCAGAAAAAAAGAAACCTAATTTTTTATAACAAAAGAACACTAAACGCAGAATTATACAACTTCATCCAGTCACCTTACCTGCCAGTGACATTTCTAAACACAGGTTATGCAATTTTCATGATAGTACCATGAATATCCTCCCGATTTAAAATCAAAATGCTGTATTTGGGGGGGAAAAAGAAATTCCAGAAAGATGTTTAATTAATATGTTTTTACCCTTCTTGTTTAAAAAAAATTGAAGTCGTTTATAAATTGTGAAAAATTTCAAAATTTTACAGAAGAAATACATTATTTACTTGCATATTCCACCCTAGTATTTTAGCATAAGATTCTGAATTGCTTTTACTTTTTTTTTTTGGAGCTTTCATTATTCGCTTAATTTTCTCCTCTTGATTTTCATATGATAAAATTAGTAAAAAACAGTAAAATATGCAAGTAAAAGACAATGCACACCTGACTGCTGAAATCTGAAAATAACAGACAGAATAGGGACATTGAGCATTTTCTACAAAATCACCAAAACAATAAATTACATAAGACTTGAGAATAAAGTTAATTTAATAACTTTTTTTCATTTTACTCGATGCTACAAGCATTAAAATTCTAAAATCATAAGTTTGTTCATTATGCAAAGATATGAACAAAAAATTATTTCAGCATTAAAATTTTAAAAGAAATCAGTTTAAGGCTCTACATGTTGACCAAACCTTCACTGTCTTGTCTGAATAACAAACATACCAAATTTTGTAATTTTGGGCCTGTATGTCTCAGCATTATGCAACACACATAAAGACAAATTCTCCACAAAAAATTTTAATTTCACATTCATTTTCTATAAATACATGTATTATTAACTATATAAGAATCAGATTACATGGATTCATTCTGAAATTACATATAAGCTTACTGTTTCTAGGATAGAAAAGAGAAATAAGTTTTAACAGGCTATTACAATTAAAAATTTCACTTAATTTATATCATTTATAGATGTTTAAATATAAATTTATATTTATAGACATAAACAACAGAATATACACCAACCAAGAGCATAAATTAAAGATCAATCTAATCAGCAAGCATAAATCTGTCTAATCAACAAGCATAAATTAAAGAAAATCTAAAATTTAAAAAAAATATTAAAACAAATTAAACAATACATCCAGGACCTGCATTAGAACCAGCAAATCTCATAAAATAGAAAATAATTGGAGAATGCTTAATTGAATGAATAGTATTAATTTTGCATTAAATGCATGAAATGAAAATAATAAAACAATAAATGTTCTTCAATTTTTAAAAAAAATTTTTCAATCTATCTCTGTATACATATATAATATAGAGAGAGAGAGAGAGTTTTTCCCCTAATAATTAGAGAATTACAAAATTTCTAAAACATTTTTATAATCAAATCTTACAATAAAATACATATTATTATTATATGCTTTATTTAAAAATCAATGGATAATTAAAAGTGTTTTTACTAATGAACAAAAACCTCAACCCTAAAAGGAGAGAAAATTTTGTAAATTTTATACTATCCTTCTGTTTTCAACCAAAATTCGTAATGAACTAGATAAAATTTATTTTCATACTTATTGAGACGTAAAACATACCTAATTTTTTAGCAACTCCAAGAAGCCATTTGACATCCTCACCATATGGTGGATTTCGGGCATATTTGGCTTGTGGCCTATCATCATGAACACGGCGTGCTAATGTTTCCATAGCTAGCATGCCCACTCGATATGCAGCCAACAAATAACCCATCTGTCTCTGATTTAATTGAGGAAGTGGCCCTTGGATCTAAAAGGAATATTTGTAAATAAAAATATGGACATTTTATGGAAACTGCAGTAAGTATCATTAAAGAATGGCATTCTTATTTTTCAGCTGATGATTTCAGATGATAAACAGTTGATTTTATTACTACACCATTACCTAAAAAAAATAATTCCAAATACCAGAAATATGTAGGACCATAGTTCAAAATATCCAGATGATTAGGTTGGCCTGCTTTATTACTTTACAACTTAATATTTAAAGATATTTACATTTTTTCAAAATTTCTATGCAAAAGTCTGCTTATTATTAGTTTAGTAAAAACTTAACTTCATTTCTTGAATTACACCAGGTTTTTTTTTTTTTTTTTTTCCCCTTCAAAACTGAATTAATTCTTTGAAAATTCTTTTCGGTTCAAAATATTTTATTTAATAATTTGAACAATTGTTGTTTACCAAGGCTCAGTTATGAAAAATCTGCATTACTCACTGCCGAGAATATACACTTTACTATAACCTGCATAGTGTAGTTCATAGGAGCTACTAATATTTAAATAATATATCTACTAATATTTAAATAGTATATTTAAATAATATTAGTAGCTTCTATGAACTGAATGAAACTCAGCTATTTATAAGATATAACTTCTTAAGTTCTATATTTTAATCAACACATTCAGCAAGATAAGCATTGTTTACTGTAGGTGAATGATATCAGTAACTAGTAGCTGCTATGGTAAACTGATAGTAAACCGTGCTGACAGGCATATCCAACATCCGTCCCATTCCCAAGTGCACTGCTGATTCCTGCATCAGCGTTCATCTATTCTTGTAACATTGTGGCCACATCTTCCCCTGCCATCGGTGAAACTGGTTTCCGTCCTCTACCTAGTTTCATGTCAAATAAACCGATCTCATTGAATTTATCTATCATTTTCTGCAGGCTGTAAGTGGTCATCGGGCCGGATTTTATACCTTTTAATATCCAGAACTTCCTGATAGCTGTTAATGCAGAGTCACTGTTTTGATAGAAAAGCTTCATGAGCAGAGCGCGATCCTTCTTTGTCAGTTATGATGAAACATTCAAGTAAAGCATTACATGTTCTGTTAGTATTCTGCATTTTTATCATAGCTATGGCTGCAGTGTGCATGCCAAGTCTTAGGAATGTGCATGCCTCCACAATTGCAATCTGAACCCTGAAAACGCCATCTATCGGCACATTTTGGAACTATTTTTTCCCTTAAACAAACAAAATTCCATTGCCTCCTGATTGTTCTGGTAAAATATCAAGTCATTCTGATCGGTAGAATTAGAGCATTTTGAAATCGCAACTTTAATTATAATCAACCCTGTGTAATATTCGAGAAATACTGAAAATTTATATTCTGTCAAATGACTCTTGGGAAAAAAAAAAAAAAAATAGTGGAATATCTGAAATGTGGACATTTCAAAAGACTTCATGCATTAGCATTAATAATGATCTTGAAACAGAAATTTACTGAACATAATCTAAGAATGAATAAATATATTTATTGATAACTTTTATCATTAATTACTAATCTTTTCATATTAACTCACACAGAATAAATTTTAAATTTTCTGGCTTATCTTTCATACTAATTACTGGTTTATTTTAATGTAATTATTTACTTTGTTATTTATATGCCAGATGTATGCTTCATGCATTATTAAATTCATCTACATTGTTTTCATTTAATTTATCACTATCCTTTTTTTTTTTTTTTTAATGTTTTTCTGCTAGTTTCAACCAACTTTTAATTCCTTACCAGCATTCGGGAGGTACATAGTCTCATCAGTACATTCTCTATATTTGTCTCACTTTGGCTATTTGACTTGCTAAAGAATTTCTAAAATTTTTTCCATGAACAGATCAGAAATCCACGTAATGAAGCTATACATCACACATGTCAGCCTCTGATAAAACATGTAATTTCATTGTTTACTGCTTTTATTTTTATTTTCTTTATTGTTCCTTTTTAATACTTAAAATTAATATATAATATTTTTAACTGTTATGTGATTATGGTAATTACTTCAACACTCATACATTTGCAATTTCACGATCAATGTTTCATTTTGTCAAGCATTTTTACATTTATTTTATTTATTTTTCATTTTGTCATGCATTTCACTTTTGTATTCACAAGCTTATATATTTTTATAATTGTCAAATTACCTTCATGCGGAAGCTCACATTATTAAACATTTATTTTTGCTATTTTACGTTACTGCAGCTTTCTGTACATTTTAAAACAGTTAAATATTATTTTTTACTGAAGTTTTTTTGCTTTTGCATTTTGGTTTATATATATACAAAAAAAGAGATATGTATAGGATTCTTATGGTTATAAGATGACGAATACTGTAATATTTTACTTGCTTAATTAAGGAGAAATTAAAAAATTTAATAACTATTAACAATGTTATATATATATTCATAAACACTGAGAACTAATGAAAGACTTAATGATTTTCACTTTTTCAACTGTTACTTAACCTGCAGAATAATAATATGAGATTTGGCTAGTTTATTTTCATTATACACTGTGACAAACAAATTCAAAACTGTTATGAGTTTTTTAAAGTTCAAGCTATCATTAAGCATTTTTGCAGTAACTATTTTGCAGCAATCATATTTGAGAGAATATATAAAATAGTATTCCACCAGATTAATTTCAGCATTCAAGAGTAAAACTTTTACATATAAATATCACAATTTATTTATAAATGTGTTTTTTCAATCTCCAGATCACCAAACTTTATCAGAATATAAAACGAAAAATGTGAAAGTAAACATACAACCAATAACAACCAAAAGCTTAACCTTCATTTTCAAATTAAAAGGCAAAACTTAGATTTGACCTTTGCCCTAATTGAATAGCATGGTCACTGAAAATATCCTTGATATATAAATGTAAGTTCCTGTTTTATTTTCTCAGAAGGATATGAACTATTAAATCAAAATTCTCATATCACCTGCATAAGTGATACTTAGGATTTATACTTTGCTATTCTTTCCAATTTGATGAAATGAACTAATCATATATTCTTATCTGTACAAAGGAAATGACTCCATTCCATAAAACAAAATGCAGAAGCAATAACTATTACCTGAGTTTGCTGAGGTGGAGGTATGGTAGTAGGTGGAGGTTGTGTAACAACAGCATGTCCATTCATTGATAATACTGGACCAGACTGTGTCACTGAAGCTCTTGTTACTGCAGTGCCAACAACCTGACCAGTGTAAATTCCTGTAGTCTGGTGTCGAATGTGAGCAGCATTTGCAACAGTGGGAGGATAATAAGACAAATTGGCTAATGGTGGATATGGATACGTAGCTGGAGATGGCACATAAGCGGGATGAATCGGGACATGCGAATGAGAAAATGGCATGTATCCATATGCAGCAGTAGGATAAGCCAATGTATACGAAACAGGTGGACAGGTAAGAGGAGGTAACACTTGTACTGAAGGTACTGTCGTAATCACCCCTTCGACTTGCCCCAGATGTATGTTATGAGGTGGTACTACATTATGATCACATGGTGGTGGAGAGGATAAAATGTTCTCATTAGATACATTATCATTTGTATTCAAATGCCTTTCAGCTTGGTTGTTGTGAGTATCATCCATTTCTTTTTCCTCATGAAAGTCATACCTGAAAAGGAAAATGAAAGAATTTTAGCTTCAATTCACAAAGCAATTTTCAAATGCAAAATTTAGATTTAACCTGTGTTTAAACTATTATATGAAATATTAAATTTATTTGTCTACATTTAATAAAATCTATCAGACTACCAAAGAGGATGCTACAGCAGTCGTTAATTCGAGACTGCTCATAAACTGATTGCAAAAATTTTTGAAGCCTTAAAATCTGAGCAACTATTTTTGCTTAGTCAAGTTTATTAGGTTTATATTAAAAGTTCTCAGCATTTGTGATAAATAAATGACAAGGGTTTGATTTACACATACTTTTTTTTTATTTATTTTCCCAAGTAAACTTAGATAAGAAATCAATTTTAGTTTTAAAAGAGAAAGAAGTAGAAGAAAAATTTTTTTGCATAATATACTTCTGACAGAGTTTGTACACATTTCTGCACATGGAAATTAAGAACTTTGAAGGACCATTAATGAAAAAAATTAAGGACCTATCAGGAAAGAGGAATAAAAGCAATTAAAACAATTATCTATGCTTGAACTTCACTTTTATAATATCACACTAAGAATAAAACAGATGAATTAATAGCATACATTACTATTAAGCATTAGCTAGTATTTAACCTACTTATAAAACAAATTAGCGTACAAAATCTCAAACTTCCTTTGTAAAATTTATCAATTAGCATTAAATTACAAAATTTCCTAAAATACTTATATTTCATACTCATAATAATCAGACATATTTAAAGATAGATTAAGGACATTTAATTTATGTTTCACTAACAGTTAGCTTTATGTTCATTTTTTCCTTTATGCCTCATTTTGTCATGTACTTGCTCAATCCAAAGGTTTAGTACATAGCAGGCAGACTTCACGTCAAGCAGCATAAATTAAAATGAAAAGTAAACTCATAACCAGCATGATACATAACAGAAGCTTGGCTGTTGTCACCCACTCCTGTGTGCCCAGAGAGAGAGACTCACTGATCTCAACAGACCTGAACACCTGAACACCCCCACACTGTCATGGTTCTTAAGTGTTCAAAAGTTAGTTACACTATGTCTGTTTGACCAAGTTAGCATCACAGCTTCTAATGTAGTTGCTGGAACTATAACCCAATTAACATACTTTGAAACTCCAATAAGCTGATGAAAATTCAGAGAGGATAAGTTGTTTTGTATTATTTTAAGTCACACTAGCGGCAATAATAAAATACTAGGAAAAAAGTTTTACATTAATTTTTACACTTTTGTGTTATATCTTGTGTCCACAATAAGATTAATGCAAAGCAATAACCCAAATTAGAGAAACCTTAAATGTGAGCAGTTAGTTACAAATAATTAAATTAGCTGGTTAGATACCTGTATTTGTTATAATTTACATAGTCATTTTTCTACACTTTTTAAAAATATTCAATAAAAATAGCCCTATTAAAATCACAATCTAAAAATATTTTACAATCTAAAATAAAAGACGCTTACACATATAATTTAAGACATTGATTCTAAAATGATATTATGATAATTATACATAGGTTTTGTAGCTTTTACACAATAAAACATTTATGGGTTCAGAATTTTTTGCTAATTTATATAAATATACCAATCTTCAAGCATCCTTTCTAACAAAATGAAATTTGTTTCAATAAATAAAGCAATTTCCCTATTAGTTTCTGCTCCATCTTCTAACTTGTTAATGTCTCAACAATATACATACCTTTCAAGAACCAATTTTCTTCCTCAATAAGTTTCCTTCTCATTTTAGAATTTTCAGATTTAATTAAAATATTTTTGTTATTCTAAAAATCTGGATGTATTTAGAATGTCTAGAAGAAAGTGCTAACTTTATTTCTTACGTAATATAAGCACTGAGAATAAATATGAAATGATATATGATCATGGCCAGTGCAAGAGCTGATATGGCAGAACTTTTAGAATATAGGACAGGCATTGGGCAGCAGAATTCAGGGGTGGTAAATATTTTAGAATTTAGGTAGGCACCAGGCAGCAGAATATACAATCCACAGAGTTATCAGGCGGGAAACGCCCAGTGCCAGCCCTGTGTATGGTCTACTGAAACAAATTACAATAATATAAAATAATATGAATCTTCTAAATCGGCAGTTTTCAATTTCTTTATTAATAAAAATTTCTTTTCTACATATGTCTGTCCATATAACAAGATTTGAACCATTTTTGTAATTTTCTATGCTTGTGCCCAATGAAAAGAACAAGAAGCGAAGAGGAAAAAAACTTTAAGGATGAAAATTAGGAAACTCAAATAATGCCTTCATTGTTAAATGCTTTCAAAACTCTCTCCAAAAAATAAGAAATTCATCACAAACTTTGTGTAAAATACATTGATTATGAGTTAATACCAAGAAGACATTTTCCCTTTTGTCACATTTTACAAGAAGCTTTTGGAATTGTAGGTCTATAAATCTTGCTTTCAAATTTTTCTAAACGTTTCAAGATTTAAAATATGAAAGAAAAACTGTCCATACCAATTCTGTAAAAGCAAAAAACCAGAAGGTTTTTGGGAAAAAAAAAAAAAAAAAAAAAAAAATGCAGAAAACCAATATATATTTGAGTATTCTGAGACAATTAATCAAGGAAAACTCTTACCATGAAAAAAGATAAAAGAAGACAAATTATATTAACTTTAAAATAATTACAATAGCTATTTTGCTGCTGCTTGTGCTGAATGGAAAGAGAGTGACAGCGCGCTTTTACTTTGCATCGGATAAAAGAATGTCTGGAAAACAAGGATTGAGAATAATCGAGATGTAGAATGGGATATTTTACTTAGCCACCATCAGTCGTCGAAGAAAGATGTAATGAATGAAAATAGACAAGCAATGTGAAAAAAAGTTGGATCAGTAAGGTAAGTAAGGACATTTGTAAAGGGAACTAGAGGCGCTGGGTAGTTAAGAGGTATTTTGGAACCTGTGCTTTAGCATTTATTATTTCATTTATCTTTCAGATTCAAAATATTCCAATAATAAGCTGACAAAATGGAAAGTAATTCTTTTTACTGTTGTTTCTTAAGTACAATTTTAATACCTTATCATTAGTTTAATGATTTATATTAGTGTTATGTTTATAGAAGAAAATCATCAAAAAATTCATAAATCTCTGAATCAAAAATTTGGAATACAAACTGATCTTAAAAGCTGCTTTTTATATAATATGTTATGAACTATTCATTAGCAAAAAAAGAAATTATTTCAAAATGTTTACGTTTCAGTTCCTGTCCAGAAACTCAAGTATCATACTATTTCATTAAAAGTATCAGTAAATTCAAACAATAATCAACCAAATATATATTTCTCAATGAATTGCCAAAAATATTTCTCCTGAATGGTATTTCACATTCAAAATGGTTATTATAACAGACAGAGATGTCAGATGATTAAAATTAAGATTCTTTTGCCAATTTTGGCTGAAATTAAGTACTTTTAAGGACCAAAAAAATTAAAAAAAAAAAAAACTCACGCCTTTTTTAGGAAGTCTTAAGGACCATACAAACCATGTTTTCATAAGCATTCTGACTAACATGGACAAGATAAAAGAGTAGAGTAGATAATTATGAAAAAGAATTAAAATTTTCTCAATCTATATGAATAAATTCCATCAAAACTATCATGTTACATTAGTTTTTATACAATTCCATCCTGCATATAGAGGAACTACATATAAAAAATAGATTTTTAATTTAAGCAAAACAGATGCATATGGAAAACAATCTCTCAATTTCATAGCAAAGCATTCTTGCTGACAGTTACTCCTGAAGCTTTTTTTTACATCTAAAATGTAGGAAAGTAATCACAAATTACATTATTGAAAAAACAGTATTTTGTCTCTCAACTATTTTTATAACTTTATTAAATTAAAAGATGCTTAGGATAACAGACACTTATCTCTTTTAAAATACTGCATAACATACCATCTTCTAGCGACGTCAAAAAGCACCTCAGGATACACTCCTCCACCTTTTGCCGAAGATTCTACTGCAAGACAAGCTCTTTCTGCCATTTCACTGCTTTGTTCCTTGCACTGTATTAGAGCTCTTTGAATTTCATTTGGATTAAGGGCATGAGCATGAGGTAGACAAGAAAGAGCCAATTCAGCAGCAGCTCTAACCATGTTAGGATCTCTGCCACGAGAAGCACGATCAGCGAGAGAAGCAACTTCTGGTGGAGTCAAATGTCCCTCCCACGTCTCAATGAGGAAATTAATAGCTGTACTACCAATTTCCATGGCTTGTCCTAAAAAAGAATATCTACTTCCAGAATCATTTGTAAAATATGCACAACATGAATAAAGTACGAATATAATGGTTAATAATGTAATAAAAGCAATTATGAATTTTACAAATGATTACGTTGAATGTAACATAAGCATTTTTACAAATAATTTAATTCCATTTATGATTTTCCACCTAAGAGCAAACTTCCACTTTTTCCAATTTGAAATAATAATAAACTTTAAATTTTTCTCTACATTTTTATAGAAACTGAAGCACCTGAATGAAATGAAATTACTGCAAATAATAATTCACATATATTCTTATGACGAAAAGGGGCAAATAAGTTTTCCTTGGCTATTTTATTAATAATTCTAAAATTTTAAACTCAATTTGGTATGAAAATCCTTAAAATTACAAGCATCACAAAAAGAAAAGCAAAATGAACACGCTAAACAAAAAATTATATTATAAAAACTCTAACTTGCACGCAGAAAGTATGGAAACTTTTGCATTTCAATCAAAATAAATAAAATAAACATTTTTCTTTCGGGTAAAGTGGCTTACGTTAATGAAAAGGTATACTGGAAATGGAATACATGCCCTGTTACTTTTATACATAGGAAATTCATCAATATACAACAGAAATATTTAGTCTGAAATTCAGTGATGGGACTGTGAAAGGTACTCAGGTTTAGCAGCAATATACATTCAAAAAAAGATGCAATTTTGAATTGCATTATTAAAAAAAAAAAAAAAAAAGTAACTGACAGCAGAATGCTAGAAAAGTCAGGCATACATGTATCTGAAATTCTATAGTGATAGTTTGTGTACTATAGCAACAGTAATATACTTTGTGTTTATTCTTAACATGGAATTCTGAATTTTGATTAAAAAAAGATATTAAATTTAAAAAAAAATTAAAACATGAAACATGGAATAAATGTTTACTTGCTAAAAATAGTCATCATGGTCTTATAGCCTTTTAAAAAACTTATTATGCAAAGTAAAGTTTCTAAATGACAACAAAAGTTAGCTAATTCAATTTGCACTAGTAAAATAACTATAATTTTAATAAGGAATAAATATGAATAGATTAAATTTTTATAGCGGAAGAAATCCAAAGTTAAGTTTTATGACAGACTGACAAACAAATGATAGTTAGCTCACTAGTCCTGACTTACAATCCACTAAACATATTTAAAAAAATACCATTATTAGTCTACTTGTGCATATATGGAGAAAACAATTCAAATATTTAATGCAATGAGAACTAAACAAGTTTGGCTATAAAACAGCTGAGCAGGTTCAAGAAATATCATAGTGTTTCAAAATTAAAAAGTATATTAAAAATATTACAATCTTAATTTTACTTTAGGCCGTTATTCACATTTTGATACCATAGTTAAAAATCTAAAATTATTAGTACAATAAGGAATAACTTGAATTTTGAATTTGCTTTTACGAAAGAATGATAACCATCTAGAATCGATTCTAACGAAGCATTTTGTGCTTTAGAATTCAAGTCATAATTTTGACAGACAGCTTGTTTACATATCACCAGCAGGTGAAAATTAATCGCAATCAAATTGGAGATTTGAATGGTTGGTGCAATTTAAGGGTTCAAGAGAAAATAATTATGTAAATAAGATACACATTCAATGCAAAATATGAAAAGTGCAACACAAAAGCAGGAACATGAAAAGAATATCACCATATGAGATTATGATATATCCTACTACTCATAAAATCTATTGTAGGATCAAATTCTGCCAGTTCAAATCTCCAAGAGATGAAATTTAATGATGAAATTAAAGATTTTCATCACTAGTTTGAATCATGCAATTTTTATGTGATTTTCAGTGCAATGTGGAAAAAATGTGATAATGACCCTGTAGATTAATAATAGTTAAAGCATTATACACATCAAAGAAATAAGCTTCTTAATAGTTTTTAATTGAGCTTTTTAATTGAAAATTTTATATAAACAGGTAATTAAGTTTTATATACAAAAAATAACATATTTTTTGTGATTCTCTACCTTATTAAGTTTCAGTGTTATTCATAGTTTATATATATATATATGTAATAATAAAATTCCATAGTCAAGAATACACTTAAAATTCTAATTGTATGTTCTTTTCATTTTTTAATGGCGACGGTCTCTTATTTGAAAGTACGTGGAATTAAATTCACAGCCCCGTAGTCAAGTTGTTTTTTCGCCTTTTTTACACGTACAGTTATAGAATGTTCTGGAAATATTTAAAGCGACCTGGAATGGCTGACGTCATTTCTTGTAAACTCCGCCTTTCCAGAGGCTATAAAAGGACTCGCAAAGGAATATCGGGGTCTTTTTCTTTAATGTAACGATGCAGTAAACTTCATACAAAAAATTATTAGTAATTCTTTTTATTTACTCCGGATATCTGATTTATAAACTGCTATTTCTCCTGAATAATATAAATGGATCCTGTTTTTTAAACTTATCATTTTATAACTTAAGCTACGACTACATTTATGATTCTTCATAAATCTATTTATTCCGGACAAAAGCTGGTACATCACACACATACATATATAATTATATCCATACCTATAATTTCTTTTATCTTTTTAATGAAATCTACATGTTTTATCTCACATTTCTTTAAATCAGGTGTTTAAAATGAAAAAGGTCTAACACATCCTATCAAAACACAGCAATGAATATATACTTTTCATTTCTTTGACTCAATATGTTATTTGAATTTCAATTCTGATAATTTAGCTCAAAACTCAAATTTAGCACTTCTCAATAAAGATAAGAAATATGAAAGTGAACTTCTAAATTTAATTAATTCACTATAACCTCTTTTATTTTTATTTCATTTGAGAACTTCATCTCTCTGTCCTCAAAATGGCACTGTAAGTCTAAACTGCATCATTCAAATTAATCCCGCGATCTTATGTAATGCTTAATGCAGATATCTCTTGCCAAATAAAAATAATTGTAAGTCAAAACTAACTCGAACTGAAACATTTCGACTCACTCCCTTCTTCCTCTGCATTACTATTGCATTCTCCTTTCGCTTAAGATTTCATCCTGTTAAGATACTACTGCAATCATCTATATTCACTTCTGTCGCTATAGTATAAAAATTCGTCTGGAAATAGGAACGATTGGAGTGCCAAGTGAATTGTGGCCACAAAATGTGAATTTAAATAAATATAGAATTTAATCCAGCTCGACTTCTTCTTCATCAAAATGGATGGACGCTCTAAGCATCGTGTATCTCTACACCATCAGCATTTCTACGCATCTGCATCTCAGTGTTCTTACATTCAGTGCCTCCGAAATTGTTCGGTCATTACATTTTTCGGCCAGTTTTAATTATGAAGAAATCTACATGGGATTGTTATTCTATGTTCACAGTGAATCAAAGGATAAATCCTGTTTCACCAAAAATTTAATGCAAGTTTAAGCCACACTCATAATGAAATCATTCATGTCGTCCAACTGAACCGCAGTTTTATTATATATAAACATAAAAGAAATTATACACATATCCACAATTTCTTTATCTTTTTAATGAAACATATATATTTTATCTCACATTTCTTTTAATCAAGTATTTAAAATGAAAAAGTCTGACACATCCTATCAAAACACAGCAATGAATATGTACTTCTCTATTTCATTCCTTTGACTCAGTACGTTCTTTAAATTGTGATAATTTAGCTCAAAGACTCGTCAATAAATGCTCCATTATCACTGCACTAAGGTAACAATTAAATAGAATTTTACTGCTTTATTGTAGAAATGTCTAATAACCTGGCAAAATTTTATTAGGGTTCTTCACAATCCATTTTGGCAGAATGATGAATTTTAAAGGAAATATGAAAAACTGAAAACATATATATTTTTCTTAACTAAATTCAGCTGTAATCTGCCACTGAAAAAATCAACTTAAAAATAAATTTTTATGATCATTAAAACACTAATAAAGTATTCAGTTCAAAAAATTAATTATACATAAATCATACTTTAAAGCACTAGAACATTTATTATAAATTTTGTGCAGAGTTAGTGATTTTGAAAATAATAAAACAAAATACAAATTATACAGAACATAAAAAATATCAGATAACAGAATATATATATATATATGTCATAATAAAAGCAAAGGAAATAACTGAAAACATTACATATATATACATATTATATATATATATATATATATATATATATATATATATATATATATATATATATATATATAGATAGTTACACAGAATATATCAAACAATGTTCTAAAATTATCATGAAAGAATCATAATTTCATTTGGATTGTGCATACAATCTTACAAAAAAGAAAAACCCAAACCTGTGATCCACGATACATGAGATGAATACGTGCGAGACAGCCAGTTTGGTGACACTGCATTATGTAAGCCTAGTGCATATAACCCAATCTGGAAAGCACACATATGCAATGCTCGGTGTGGGCCTCGATGATTCTGACTGGCTGAAGGCTGAGTAAACAACACTGCAGTGGAACTATTTCCACCAGCTTTGGTGAGGACAGTTTTAGCAAGCTCAAACATAAAATGAGCCGATGCTTCACTGGGCTGGTTTGGCATGCTAGGATATGCCCGCTTTCCTTTAAACCTATTTAAAATAGTCTATTTGTAAAATGAATAATGCACATACAGTAAAATAGGTCATAAATATATGCAATGGATCCTCTCTCAGATCACTATTCAAATTTCTAAAAGGATTCTGAACTTGTGTGATAGGACTCATTTCTTTGAACATGACTATTAATATTTTGCCATCTTTTGTATTCAAACTGTACAGTTATAGCCTTTGGTAATTTCAGATTTGTTTCTGTTTGAATTATTTATTACTTATAGTTTGAGATTATAATGCATTCCTTTATTACTCAGAGTTTTACTTTTATTTCCATTTAAAACTTTTTATTAATACATAACAACTATAGAGATTTTAGTCTATCAGTTATTCCTACATTTGACATCAGTTTAGTGCAAATTAAGGTATAATTCATTATTTATGATAAAATTTTCTTCTTCCCTTTCATTTCATGGCTTATTAATATATAGAAATTAATCACACAGATAAGTAGCAAACAATACAGTAAAAATACTACTGAAAAATGATCTTAAGTTTCTAATATATTTATGTGTATTATATTTTATAACACAGAAAACGGTTTTAAAAATTAATGTAGAGGGCAACATATGTCACACATAAATTTGGATTTATAATTTCAGAAATACTTACTACTAATTAAAATAGTCATCTAAGTCAAATCGTCTTCTTTGTCAGACACTTTTTTTTCAAAACAGTATGAAACTCCACAAGCTACATATAGTGCTAAAGGAGCAGTGAGTCAAATTTTAACGCGTAAACGTTTAGCTACCATAATAAAGATGTGTCAATGAGACAGCATATCGACAACACAATGAACTTGGTTAGTAATCTACGCGTAGTAAGTGACTTTGATGTTATTATTTACATTTTAATGTCTTTGCCAAAGGAACATGAAAATGTTAAGGCATCACTAGAAAATCAATTAAGTGATAATTTGAGTTTGCATTTTGTTACAAGCAGACATATTGATTGTGAATCTCTTATGTTCGATTATAAAAGTGAAAATAAGTATTCTAAACCAAATATGGACAATTCTGTTTTTATTAGTGCTCATAAAGAACTGTTTTGTACTTATTGTAAAAGAAAAGGACATTCTGCTAAATTCTGTAGAAAAAAGAACTGTATCTGTCATAGCTGTGGGAAAACTGGTCGTTTCAAAAATGAATGTTTTGATAATTCTAAAAAGCAGGTAAATTCTAATAGTAATAAAGTATGCATTACCTGCAACATCTTTTATGGCTGGAAATCTTGTGCATGATCAATTTATTATTGATTCTGGTGCAACTTCTCACAAGGAATGGTTTACCTCAATTAAGCCTAAGACTGGAACTGTTAAATGCGCGTCTAAATCGGGGGTTTTAGAAGTAGAAGGAATTGGTGACATTTGCAGCAAAAGTAAGAATGGTGTTGAAATAATGTTAAAAGATGTTCTTTACGTTCCAAAATTAAATAGATAATTAATTTCTGTTAAAAATATTGAAGCAGCAGGTTTGAGCATCATTTTTAAAAATGAAATAGCTTACATTGAAAACAAAAACAAACGTTTTAGATTTGGATATTTGGATAAATGCGGACAATATTTTGGTGATTTTTCACCAAAACTATTTACAGCTTTAGCAGTAAAGAATGATGATTTATGGCAAAGAAGATTAGGACACTGTTATGATCAAAAATTAAAACTAATCAATCTTCCTGCAAAAGAAACTTTTTGTGAAGTATGTGTTCATGCCAAACAAAGTGCTTTGCCAATATGAAAGGGTCTTTGCATAAAAGAATCCAAACCGCTTATAACTATACACACTGATATATGTGGTCCAATAGAGCCTCAAACACTCCATGGAGAAAAGTATTTCATGACTATAATTGATGACTACTCGCGATTTATGGAAATCAGACTGCTCAAAAGACAAAGTGACATTGTTGATGAGCTTACACTATTCTTTAAATTGAATCCAACTGTCACAAAACTGTGCTGTGACAATGCCAAAGAATATGTCAGTGGAGAACTTTATGAAGTTATAAAAGAGCAGGTGTAAAAATAGATCCTGCACCTCCCTATACACCTTTTCTAAATGGTGTTGCTGAAGGAGCAAATAGAACTGTACTGGAAAAAGCTAGAGCAATGATTACTTGAAGCAAATTTCCAAAGTTCCTTTGAGGTGAAGCAGTACTTACGGCTGCTTACATAAATAATCAACTCCCAAATAGTTCAACTGACAATCGTGTTCCTCATTTTCTGAAGTATGGTGAAAATCCTGATTTAACAAAGATGCGTGTATTTGGCTGTGATGCTTATACTCTTGTGCCACCATCAGAGAAGGTAAAATTTTACATTTCTTGCAATTTCTTATAATAAGAGCTTTTACACATCTAAATTTCAACTATACAATATTTTCAGAAAAATACATAAATTCAAAACATACCTTGTATTTTTTATGTTTGGAGTATTAGCCCGAACATTGTTTTCAGGGGATGGAAAGTTAGTTGGCAACCTGTTATTAAGCATCATAACAGGAAGGCTGAAAATAAACATCAAAATGAATTGAAAAAGAAAGATGACAGAAAGAGAAAGCTATTGTTAAAATAGTATAAATTTTAAATACTGTAAAAACATGCAAAACCTTTCTCCTTCTCTAGACTTGGAGCGTGGAGCTTTATCTTCAGATGAACTTGATGCAAATGAATCACTACTTTCTCCACTGCTACCACTATCACTACCAGGCCCACACTGTTTCAACCATGTGCTGCGTCTCACTACTGTAGGTGAATTATCACTAGATGTAGTTTCTGGAGCACTACTATCAATGCTAGCCATACCTAAAGAAATTAATGCAAGTAGTTATGCAAATGCATAGATTGCATGCAAGTACATTCATTTTTGTGATTTTGTACTTGATTTACTTAACACTTTACCGACCAATCACTTATTAATCAGCTTTTTATCACCAACACCTACCAACCGATAGCATATTAATGGGCATTTTTTCGCTAACGCCTACCGACCGATAGCCTATTAATCGCTTTTTTTCTCAGAGCTACCTAAAAATAGCCTGTCAATTGGTAGCCATGGCGATAAACAATTGCCATTCGCTATATCATCTGCATTTTATTATTAGTATTGAGGTACATTGCTCAGTTGCATTAAGTGTGTTGCTTCGTAAACTCCCACATTTTCACACTGTTTTAAGAAAATTTACCATTCATGATGAGCAAAAAAAAAAAAAAAAATTATACTGGAGAGTTTTACTTAGATGATTTATCAGATTGTCCTGACAGTTATTCAGGAAGTGATAGGTGACGAAAGTGACAGCAGCGAGAATCTGAGCAGCTGGTCGGACGTGCGTATGCTGTTGAACTGCTAGCAGTCGGTAAAATGTTAACATTTCTATGAGACCTAGTTATTTTGAAAGAGATATTCCAAATTACATTGAGAATCACTCAAAACTTACGTATAAAAATTACTTAAAGATTAGTTTTGATGAATAAGAATTGTCATATTCTAATAATGTAACCTGCACATAACTAAGAATCATTTGTTATCATTTCATTACAAACTTTTCCAAAACAATGAGTATTTATGAATATTGCTATACATATCCAAGGCATGAAGAAAATGAATAATTACTGTCCTGATATAAGAATAGTCTTCATCCATATAATTAATTATATGCATATACTGACTATTTACATTATTATTATAAATTACTATATTACTACAGAAATTATAAATTTGCTGTTTATCAAATTTTCTTAATCACACAAAGCTGAAATAAAGGCTTATTTTAAGTCTAATATAAATCTTTTATACTAGTCAAATACAGAAAAAATTCTATACATGGAGTGTGGAAATATTACTGTACACCAAATACATAAATATGTATTAAAAATAAATGCTTTTAAACAAAAAAGCATTTTGAATTTTTGACATATTGCTTTATTTTCATGTCTTCCTTATTTTAATGAAAATATTTTCTCAATTTTCAGTAATATTTCACTATGCACTTTATTGATCTTTAATTGATCTGGAAAGAAAAATACAGTTGCTTCTGCATACTGAAAAAGAAAACGTAATTTTTAATTCTTACACAAGAAACAAAAATAAACTAAAAAAAATAAAGATTTTAGTCATCAAAAACAAAAATTCTCTTGGGATTTGGCACATTTTAAGAACTGTTTTGTTTCAAGAAAGACTTTGGCCAAGTATTCACATTTCACCTAGTAAAACAATGCAGTTTTTTTTCAGGTAATTTTAATCATATTGACCTTATATGCAATCAATTAAAAGTGAATTACTATCCCCCTCCCTTTTTTTAAATATTATATTTTTGTGTGCTGCCAATAAGTTTAGTTGATCTTGCATTCAAACTAAAAAAAAGTCTAAAAATTACAGAAACACTATATTAAACTTCTAATTACAAAACATTCATTTAAAGGTGTGTATACAAAGCATCTGGCTCTTGTTTTAAAATCCAATGAAGTATTTTAAATTAACAGATTTTACATAGGATATTAAAAGCAAAAATCTGATTTTTGAGATTTCAAAAGACTACGAAATTCTAGAAGAAATTATGGTTCATGAGAAAATCTTTAAATGAAGACAGAGACTCTGTAAAATGAATTAGCTTATAAACTTTTACATGAATTTAGAGATATTTTCATTAAGTTACAAAATGGCGGGATAAAAAAAGCAAATACAAACATCAAAGCTTATATTCAAAAGTCATGAGGAAAATGCAGTAAAATTTTGACATGGTATAACAGAAAATACAAAACATAACTTGCAATGTGCCCAAAATAAGCAAGTGAAAAGTTTGAAATATTTATGTTATTGAAAGAAAAGAACTCCAAAAGATTAGTGAGTGCATGACAAATTTAAAAGAAATCCAGATATTTGTATTTATAAAATTTCAGAATGCCAAAAGACATTGAATGATTTGATTGAAATGTCCATTACTTTGATTTGAAATATCGAGCAGCTTTAAATCTGTACAACTGGTACATTTTATATATGCTGCTGCTGAGCAAATATAAACATTAATTTTATATTGAGAGCAGGTAAATAAAAAAGAAAATTTCACATCTACAAAAATATTAGGATTTAGAAAACTGCATTTGCTTCAGTGGATGATGGAGTATTTTCATAAAACATTTGCAATTAAACAATGAACACATATAAGTCCAACTAAATAATGAACACATATTTAAAATGGATAATTCATTAGCGATGTACTTTTGATTACTTAGATCAAAGTAAACTGAAAGGGCTGCACAATCTGCCAGTTCAATGACATTCAAATATGATTTATATTTACCATTCATAAAATGGCAAATTAATATCTCCTTTGTTTATCATCTTTCTTAAATAAGCAGGATACTTTGGAGCTATACTGCACAAAAGAGAATGTATAAAATTTATGCTACTAACTGAGAAAAATGGATTAGATAAGGAAAAAAAAAAAAAAAAAAAGAGAGAGAGAAAGAAAGAAAGAAAGAAAGAAAACAAGCTACAAAAAGTTCACATTTTAAATATACTCCAAATTCAACGCTGTTTCTTCTATATTTATCTTCTTTTAAAAATCAAGACTAGATTTAAAAAAATCATACTCCTCGCCGAAAGATTCTAAATATTTTCCTAAAAAAAACTACACCTTAATGCAAACCTTTTGGCAAATAGTTTTCAAGTTTGGAAAAATTCTGTTCAAAAAGTTTCTCATATAGTGATTCTTGAATTATTCAGATTACTCAGAAATGAGTAACTTTCGAACCATTCATTTTAATAGGGGAATGAATATCTAAATTACATACAATTATACAAACTATTATACACAATCTGTCCCTACTGCCTCATTAGATAACCACGTGGAAGAACATTCATAGCATGCAAATTCCTGCAAAGGCATACCTATCACAGCTGGAAAATCTCAAAGATTTGTCCATTTAAATAAACAGTAGACTCATTTTACACCGATTGCAGTTGCCAAACTTGTAATTTGATTTATTTCATCAGAAACAGCTGGTATGAAAAAGATTATTACTTTAATCCTTTTTAATGCACCTATTCTGGGTTATACATTTGACTTGTAGTCAGTGTACTTATTGCAAAAAGTGTGCAGTTTTTTTTATTCTGTAAAATGTGTAGTATTAAAAGGACTACAATATGAGACATTTTCTTACAGTAAAATGACTTTCAGAAGTTCTTGCATTCGGGTCTAATTTTTCAAAAACTAAATTTTCATCAGTTCATTTAACCTTTCATTTTTAAGTTATTATGGACAAGTACATCTTTTTTACCTATTCATTTATTGTTTTACATTTTCATCACCTGAATTGATTAGCTTAGCACTTTTCCAAGACCCATATTTCTAAGATTATGTTTTAAAAATTTGGAAAGTGACCAAATATTGCTATACTGCCAAATCCCATTGACACCCCCCTTTTTTTTATTATTTTTTTAACTGCCTATCTGCAGAATATTAGCAGCTAAAATTTTCACTAGTCCTCTAACTAGTGTATTTTTTTTAAGGAAAGTACAAACTTTTCTTTATAGTAATCAAAAAAGTTACATCATTAAATTGAGGGGGGGGCTAAGTTATCAATACAATGATTTTAATAATTAGAAACATTCAATTTTTGGTTGGCATTAATATCAACACATTTTATATTCAGTACATTCTGAGAGGAAAAATGTAGTCTCACTGCTCGAGTTCATAAGAAACATTTCATAAAGCTTCCGTTAACAGGAAAAACTCAACAAAAGCATCAGTGTGAAGATACAAATAAAAGCATGCATAACAGAAAAGTGCTTTGTAATGCACCTTATTTAACACGATAAGTGAGCAGAATTTCATTACTCACATTTCCTTTTACTTGATATTCATTATTTTGCTGTTAAATGATATTTTGATATCTTATTTTCTGTAATTATCTAAATTATTCTCATAACTCGAAAATTATAAAAAGGTACAGTACAGGAAATCATAACACAAAATGAGGTTAAAACGATATAAGCATACAACAATCAAAGAGTAAATCTAAAAAATATTGAGGCTCATAGGGTTAAATATTAATGAAGCAACTAATATATTGATTCAATAATTCAATTTCTACCTAATTTTAAACTAACTTCGACACTCTTAAATAGTTTGAGCCTAATTACAAATCATCATTACAAATTTAGGGAGGGGGGGGGGGAAAAGACAATAAAAAGTGAAAATATAACCAATCAAAACAAATAGTATGTGCTTTTTTAAAATCCATTATTACACTTAATTTGTAAAGTAGATTTTACCTCCTGAATGCTTTTTAGTAGTTCTAAAATTAGTGCATCGGAATTTAGCTTCCCAAGCTTTGTAATCTTCTTCCCAGCCAGGGCTTGATGCTCCTTCACTATGCTCACCATTATCTTCACTGGTTCTATAACACAGTATAACAAACTTGTTACATAAAAGTTTTAAAAACAAATAATAAAATTTTTATGCTATCTAAAGTAATAAAATTTTTTAAATTTATTTTACATTTATATTAGTATACTTTATTGATATGTAGTACTATCATATTAATAATTTAAATATGTTTATTTTTTATATAATTTAAACTACTCTTATGAATTTTGTTCACCTGAAATTTCAGAAATGATACATTCCTTTCTCATCTCAAATACAAAATTTAATGTAATGCAAATGGCAGCAGGCTGAAGAAAAATTTTGAAAATGATTATTCACAGCAGGGTTGGCAAGGTTATTTGATAACGAAGAAAATCATTTGAAAGAAATTGATCTTTGACTAACTTCACTAATATTATTATTATACTTATATTTTGTGCAGTATAATATTACCATATTGCTCATCATTTTAAATATTTACCTTATATGGAATTATATTATAAATGTAAATTCATATATAAAATTCCGATAAAAACTTTTGGTATTAATGTGGGCCAAGCTTCCTTTGCCAAAAGCTACCAGTTCAGGAAATTTGTTTTACTTTCTTTCATTCTAGTAGCTCCTCTTGCTACTAGAATGAAAGAAAGTAAAACAAAATTTTGTATAAGCTAAGGCCTGTTTAAATCACTACTCCTAAAAACTATTTATTTAATTATAAAAAATATATGTGCCTGTTAGCGGCTGAGTAGTGAAGTCACTGAACACTGGTAATTCGACCTGGGTTCAATGTCAGCTGAATGGGCTGGCTGTATAGATATTTTCATGGTTTCCTCCCTGTGTAATGTGGATACAAGCCAGTTTCCCTTAGAAAGTCACCCAAGAACGCATCTGTCCACATAGGCAGATAGCCCTAGTGTATTTTGCCATAATGAAATAAACCAAATATATATATATATATATATATTTATAGAATCTTAAATTGTAATGATCATTTTCTTATTAGGCAAATAAGTCTGTGGGGGAAAAATACAATGAAATATCATATGTATATGAATAAGAACTCCACAGATAATTATTTAATTTGTTTGTATGTTACTGCAGAAATAATTATAATTTATTTTCATATAATTATAAAATTATAAACTATTATTAGTAAATTCATCTCTTTTACTAGACATACATTCAATGTCAACATTTGCTTGGTGATGAGAGCTATCTCACTAACAGTAAAGTACCCAAAACTCAGCATGGAAAAAAATTTCATATTTAGTTAACTAGTATATAGTATCTGTCAGTCATTGACTGTAGATATATGCTTTCAGTTGCAAAAATGTTTCAAATGGCGCAGATATTTATGTTTTGTCATTTTTAAATTTAAAGAAATTATTGTAAAAATTATGGAATAAAACTTTTTATATGTTCTTACAGTCCTACACTTATAGTTGGGAAAATACTGCACACTTTATATATTAAAAAAAAAATAAAACACAAAAAAATTTGATTTCCGTATGATGAAAATTGACAAAAATTTCAAAATTTTCCATTCCAGACATTATTTCCAATTCGAATTGAAAGGTCTTAAAAAATAAATTAGAATTATTTGAGTTTGATAAGTTTTCCCCCTTAAGAGACATTCAATAATGTTTTATGATTTAATAGTGCCTTTAATTTACAATATTTTTACCTTCGATATGCCGAAAGAATTTTCACGCAAATAATTTATAAGTTTTAAAAAATATCTTATAATATTCTCATGAAATTTCATTACTTTAGAAACATAATAAGTATATGAAAATTCATCAAGTTACAAATATTTTTCATTACTGGAAATAATACAAGTTGACCAATACTAAAGCCAACTTCCTAGAACATGCATAAAAATGCACATCACTTAATCTCTTAACATCAGAAACCTTTTCCTAAACTGATAATTTGAGTAAGTACAATTGCAAACATTTCATTCTTCAATTTGTGTATGGTCCCTGAATAAGATATTCGACTTTAATACCAAATAGCTCAGTCAATTTTTTTTATGTGAGAGTCCAACTTTTGTGTTTATTTTTTATATTATGCAAGAATGAAACTTTTTTTTTTTTTTTAATTCTATAAGAAGTACAAAATTTTCCTAAATAAAAGCACAGGGAATGGAAGAATGCATAAAAAGTTACATTTCTTAATATTTATAAAATTGGCTTCTTAAAATACAAAAATGCCCAAACATGAATCTTCAAATCATTTAAAAATTTTTGTAACTGGAAGTATATGTCTAGGACTACTGGTTGCAAAAATAAAGACAGGATAAGGAAATGGTGGCTGTAGTGTACATTTTATTATTATGAGATATTATCTAAATCAGGTGTGGTGTTTTCTACATAATCAGCTAAAGCATCTTGCATATGCACATTTATGTTTCTAAGCCCTGTGTACTATTTGCCAGCCTTTTACCTTTTCTGGCTAAATTTCAACTGAGAGAAAAGCCTCTCCATGTATTCTTCTCAGCTTGTAACATAAAAACGAAATACTACAATTTATGCTACTTTAAGGAAATTTTCAACCTAAAAATTTATCTTTTGAAAATAATAACTGTTTTTGAATTTGAAAAAATTTTTCATCCAGTTCAAAATCCCTGACATTTCACTAAAGTTAAATACAACATTTGAACTCATTAATTATACTTATGATATATTTTATGAATAATACACAGGGACAAATTGGTTTGAAAATATGAGTTATTCCTGTACATTTAAAACTAAAGACATGGTACATATTCATATACGCTATATAGGGAAATCGTTAATGCTACTCCTACATTATTATGATTAGAATCTAATCATCAATTTCATGGAAAAAATGCACATTCCATGAAATTGTTCATAAAGTTAACAGACTTCCTTAAATTTAGATCTCAGAAAATTTTTAAATATTTCAGTCATTTATTCACGCGTACTTCGACATCGTAATTGCCAAATAATAATAATGTTCCGAACAGCATACAAAGCAAAGAGTATGCTGAAAATTACAGCTCTGAAAAAAATTAATTAAAAATGTAAAAAAAGAAAAACAAAATACAGTAAGTTATCAGTCTATTTCAATAATTATCACATTTTTTATTTCTGATATAAATAAACAAACACACACACAGCTATTAAAAAACATACCTATGTGATTGTCGCAGATCTCTAATACGAGTACTACCAGCAGTTGAATTTTGAGCGGATGGTAAGCTACGTGGGCGAACTGTTGAAGGTTGATCAATATCTCTCTGATTTTCACTAACTGTATTTCCATTTTCAGTTTCTTCATGGAGTTCAGTTTCATCAGAATCTCTTGTCACAATTTCATCATTTACAGCCTTATCATCTGAAGGAACAGAATTGCCATTTTGTTGTGAACTAGCGGCAGAAGAATAATACAATGAAGAAGCAGGAGCTTTATACATCTGATGAACTTCTTTGTCCAAAAGCTTCTCCATAATCTAAAATTATGAGATCACAATTAAATTTCTAGTTGCATATTAAAAAAAATACAATAATATAATACTATAAAATTGTAAAAAGTACAATAAAACTCCAATAGATCACTCAATCTTTTCTAGACAGGTAAATTAAACTCCTTGTTGATTTATTCCCACAATCTGAATTTTTGCGCAGATATCATAATAAATTGTAGTTTCTTCAACGATTAACCACCGTAGATGAAGCCTGGATTCCTCATTACAGCCCAGAAACAAAAACACAGTCAAAACAGTGCGTGGCAAAGGGAGAATTGGCTCCAAAAAAGGCACAAACTGTTTCTTCTGCTGGGAAAATGATGGCGATGGTTTTCTGGGATAGCCATGGAACTGTCTTAATGGATTATCTTGAAAAGGGAAAAACCATTACCGGAGCATATTATGCACCACTAATTGACAAGCTGAAGGCATAAATTGCAGAAAAACGACCACATTTGCAAAAAGAAAAAAAATTGTTTCACCAAGACAATGCTCTGTCTCACACCTCAGCGGTTGAGATGGTGAAAATCCACGAATTACGGTTTGAACTGCTTGACCACCCACCCTATTCCTCAGACCTGGCCACAAGTGACTTTTTTTTTGTTCCCTAAGCTAAAAGAAGCACTCAGAGGACAAAGATTTTCGTCAAATGAGGAAGTTATGAACTTCATTAGTAACTATTTTGCAGAGAAAGATTCCATGTATTATTTGGATGGATTAAAAGGATGGGGGCATCACTGGGATAAATGTATTGACTTACAAGGAGACTATGTCAAAAAGAAAAAATAATTTTAGAGGAAAAAAATTTTTTTTCTTAGTTAGGTTGGAAACTTGTCAGACAGCCCTCATACTTTGTATTCCCCCTATTTGTATCCTGCAACACAGCTCAGAGCACCTGGAGATCTATGCATAAGAGGATATTTATATACATACTATGTACACTTGGATATCAACACATGTATAGATCTACATATATCTGTGTATACGATCTACGCACATATTCCTACACTTGGGGGGAAAGACAAGGTAAATAAAAGCACTTTTTCTTGGCTTTATGGAAAGTTGAAGTAGATAACAATAATCGACTCCCAATTTACAAATTGAGAAGTTAGATAAAAGAGCAAAAACAGTTGTAATCCAGTGGAAACTTTCAGAAGTGGCACATACGCAGTTAACAATGATGAACCCCAATTTACAAACTGAGAAGGTAGATAAAAAAAGAAAAACAGTTTTAATCCAGTCAAAAACTTTGAGAAGTGGCACATGGGCAGTTAATAAAGCCAGAAGAAGTTACCAAAACTAACAGAATTGAACAAAAAGGGGGGGGGTCAAAAGGATCAAAAAGCTTTATCAATTATTATTCTTAGCATTAAATCAACAGTTGAGTGCACATGAAAAGACGTAAAATTTTGTATGAAGCTTAGATGAAATTACGTGAAATTCATCAACCAAATATGCCCATAACAAAAGTGCGTCTTAAGATTTAAACAATTACTTTGAAACTTCACAGAAACTTGAAGACATAAGTTCTGAAATATCAGAAAAATCTGTGTTTATTTTGCTACTGTGATATGCTAAGTAAAGAATTCCCAATTTTTGAATTGTGATAGAATCCCATAATCAGCTGCAGACTTTAACCTTCTTAATGTTATTAAAAGACTATTAATGTTACTAAAGACTAAAAGACTTAATGTTACTAAAAGACAAGTTGTCAATTTGAATTTTTTAAAAAAAAGCTGAATTCATGCTGCTTTAGTTACCAAATGTCAGTTGGGGGGGGGGGGGGGGGGGGGGGGGGGGGGGGGGGGCGGGGGGGGGGGTGGGGGGGGGGGGGGGGGGGGGGGGGGGGGGGGGGGGGGGGGGGGGGGGGGGGGGGGGGTGGGGGGGGGGGGGGGGGGGGGGGGTGGGGGTGGGGGGGGGGGTGGGGGTGGGTGGGGGGGGGGGGGGTGGGGGGGGGGGGGGGGGGGGGTTGGGGGGGGGGGGGGGGGGGGGGGGGGGGGGGGGGGGGGGGGGGGGGGGGGGGGGGGGGGGGGGGGGGGGGGGGGGGGTGGGGGGGGGGGGGGGGGGGGGGGGGTGGGGGGGGGGGGGGGGGGGGGGGGGGGGGGGGGGGGGGGGGGGGGGGGGGGGGGGGAGGGGGGGGGGGGGGGGGGGGGGGGGGGGGGGGGGGGGGGGGGGGGGGGGGGGGGGGGGGGTGGGGGGGGTGGGGGGGGGGGGGGGGGGTGGGGGGGGGGGGGGGGCTGGGGGTGAGGGGGGTGGCGGGGGGGGGGGGGGGGGGGGGGGGGGGGGTGGGGGGGGGGGGGGGGGGGGGGGGGGGGGGGGGGGGGGGGGGGGGGGGGGGGGGGTGGGGGGGGGGGGGGGGGGGGGGGGGGGGGGGGGGGGGGGGGGGGGGGGGTGGGGGGGGGGGGTGGGGGGGGGGGGGGGGGGGGGGGGGGGGGGGGGGGGGGGGGGGTGGGGGGGGGGGGGGGGGGGGGGGGGGGGGGAGGGGGGGGGGGGGGGGGGGGGGGGGGGGGGGGGGGGGGGGGGGGGGGGGGGGGGGGGGGGGGGGGGGGGGGGGGGGGGGGGGGGGGGGGGGGGGGGGGGGGGGGGGGGGGGGGGGGGGGGGGGGGGGGGGGGGGGGGGGGGGGTGGGGGGGGGGGGGGGGGGGGGGGGGGGGGGGGGGGGGGGTATGGGGGGGGGGGGGGGGGGGGGGGGGGGGGGCGGGGGGGGGGGGGGGGGGGGGGGGGGGGGGGGGGGGGGGGGGGGGGGGGGGGGGTGGCGGGGGGGGGGGGGGGGGGGGGGGGGGGGGGGGGGGGGGGGGGGGGGCGGGGGGGGGGGGGGGGGGGGGGGGGGGGTGGGGGGGGGGGGGGGGGGGGGGGGGGGGGGGGGGGGGGGGGGGGGGGGGGGGTGCGGGGGGGGGGGGGGGGGGGGGTGGGGGGGGGGGGGGGGGGGGGGGGGGGGGGGGGGGGGGGGGGGTGGGGGAAGGGGGGGGGGGGGGGGGGGGGGGGGGGGGGGGGGGGGGGGGGGGGGGGGGGGGGGGGGGGGGGGGTGGGGGGGGGGGGGGGGGGGGGGGGTGGGGGGGGGGGGGGGGGGGGGGGGGGGGGGGGGGGGGGGGGGGGGGGGGGGGGGGGGGGGGGGCGGGGGGGGGGGGGGGGGGGGGGGGGGGGGGGGGGGGGGGGGGGGGGGGGGGGGGGGGGGGGGGGGGGGGGGGGGGGGGGGGGGGGGGGGGGGGGGGGGGGGTGGGGGGGGGGGGGAGGGCGGGCGGGGGGGGGGGGGGGGTGGGCGGGGGGGGGGGGGGGGGGGGGGGGGGGGGGGGGGGGGGGGGGGGGGGGGGGGGGGTTGGGGGGGGGGGGGGGGGGGGGGGGGGGTGGGGGGGGGGGGGGGGGGGGGGGGGGGGGGGGGGGGGGGGGGGGGGGGGGGGGGGGGGGGGGGGTGGGGGGGGGGTGGGATTTAAACGGGGGGGGGAAACTTGGGGGGGGGGGGAGGGGGGGGGGGGAGGTGGGGGGGGGGGGGTGGGGGGGGGGCGTGTGTAAGGAGAAAAAAATTACAATGAAAAAATAAGTGCTTCTAAGAATGTGAAGCCTAAAGCATTCAGGTGTTATAATTGGAACAGGAAAGAACATAAAAGCATAGGAATAAGAAAAAATAAAAGCAAAAATTCTAATGAAGAAAATAATAAACAAGTTGTTTGTTTAACACTGTCAGTACAATGCAAGAATTAGGAACACAAAATTAACCTTTGTTGCACACAAATAATCTAAAGAAGTTAAACGAAAACATTTGTATTTTTTATATTTAAAATAACTTCAGTAAAAATTAAAAAAATTAATTTTATTCAAATTTCATTTTAAATGATTGCTACAGTTTGCTACAGCATGCATATACGTACATGCATACAAATCTCTTACCAACGATTTACGGTCATTGCATTTGAAATCATTTCCTGCTTTGTTTGCAGCGATCATCACCATCTTCTAAATGGTAAATCTACAACTGACATGTATGTACAGATCCCCCAAATACCTTCATTTCGTCGATTGTGATTGAATTCATTTTGCTACGATTTTGTAACCTGTACCTATTGGATTCAAATGTTCTAGAAATTTCTTGCCAAACATAAACATTTCCAGTGGTGTTTGGGCTTGATATAATAGTACATTTGGGTTTCAATTCACTCTTTTCAATAGATTTTTATCTACCCACTCCCCAATTTTCTCAAACTGACATTTAAAATAAAATGTCTAAAATTACTAATTAGGAATAAAAAATTGCAGTATAAGAAAATGTAAGCAATATTATATAATGTTTACTATGAGAAATTGTACTACCTTGAAAACAGAAGTAGCAACCACTTTCTAAATAGCAATGCTTTATTTAGTGATGCTATACAGCCATCTATAATCGACAGTTGAAAGTTCTAATAATATAGAATTAATAAACACAGGAATGGAATCTGTTAAGGCATTTACAGAAGAATAAACAAATTTAAACTTTTGTCTACTATAGTGGACATGATGCAACAAAGGGTTAATGTTTTGATTCAGGAACTACTATACACAAATGCAATGACTGAAGCAAATTCACATCAATAGCTGATATAAAAAATTAAGCTCAGTTAGCAAATATTAAAGGTAGAGTTGAAATTTAAGCAAGTCTTAATTTAACAGCACAAAGCATAAAACTATTATTACTGTATCACACAGTCGCCAGCTAAAAATGAACTTCACTTCAGTTAACTTAGTGATGCAGTGGGTGGATTTCAGAAATAATTATGCATGGGTTAATGCTCATAAAAAACACTTTGTTTTGCAAGCAACTAAAAATGGGTTGTATGTTGGAAATCAACAAGATGTGCCTGAAATTTACAGTATTACACATTGTTAAGGCAAATATGCAAAACAGTACATTAATATTATTATATGAAAGGTGTGGTCACTTAAATCTAAATAATTTAAGAGCTTTGCATTCAAAAATTAAGATACATGAGGCTAAAATTTCAAATGGAATAGAATACAATTTCAAAGAACACATTTTAATATGAACATATTTATTTTTCAGATTTTTCTCAGATATTTTTAATCAGACTCATTGTTTTTTAACAGCACATACTATCACTCATAGAACAAATCTATGGACATCATTTGAAGTTTATGTTAGTAGTAAACCATTTTCAGATCTCTAAAAGAACACTTATATGAGCTATGGATAAGGAATGTACTGATTATTTGAGACTAATTATTGCAAGATTTCCAAACTGATATTTATTTTCCTATATGTCGATAAAGAATAAACATGTAAAAATAAAAAAATATAAAGAACTTCCAAAAGATTCTTGCGTTACTGATACCTTTGCCAGTTTTTCTTGATCATCCTTGTAAGTCACCAATAACGTAATGGCCAATTCTCCCCTCTGACGACGAGTGCCTTCACAAAGTAACGGATGTTCAGCTTCGGACACATTTGCTTTCAAACCTTTAAATTTTGAAAATAATAAGTCCATATCAGGAAATCATAAACACTTATATGCTAAAACATGACAAATACATACAAAATAAAAAAGACATTTTCAAAATAGGAATAGATTTTTTCCCCCCCCCCAGAAGAAAAAAAAAAAAAAAGAAAGAAAGAAAGAAAAGAAAGAGCAGAAAATCACCTAAGGCTGCAACAGCTGCTTCAAATCCAAGCTGCTCATCTCCAGGTAATTTGCATGATGGTGGATTTCCTCGGTTTTGAGCATCTGTTACATTAAAAATGCTATTTTAGAGATGTAGACATGTAAAAATGAAACTAAATCAAAATATACAATCTTGGCACAGCAATAATGTGTTTGTCTTCCATAATTAATAGAAAGGCATACAAACTAGTACTTGGAATAATGACAGTGCAAATAATAATCAAAATGAAAACAGCATTTTTTATTACATGACATTTAATAGGACAAAATAATAGTAGATCATAAATATAACTGAGACAAGATTTCCCCCCCCTAAGGAAATTATGTTATGATTATAAATAAATGACATGATTAATGATGATAAATTAAAATATTTTTATTACACAAGATACTCTTGCTTGAAATTTTAAAATGTTTGCATTTCAAATAAGGTAATGTACATATTTTGAATATAGTTAAGAGCATCTAATCACTTCTTGATATTGCTGGAAGAATTTATAGGAATAAAAATTTTTGAAGAAATACATAATTTATCACCCCGCCATACACACACAGACACAAAAAGGGGGGGAGAAAAATAAGCTTTAAAACAGAGCAATCAGTGTCTGACAATCTCGCTTATACAGTTTATGAAGAATTAAGAATAAAAGCAATTTTTATTGGGACATTCTTACAGAAAAATCTTAGAGGAATCTCATACATCAACTAATTTGCAAGATTTAATTTATTGACTAATATGTTCCAATTTTAATTAAAAGGAAAAATAAAATTGTGTATTGGTAGTAATGAATACTTTTCTGTGAAAGTGAAAATTATACATTAAAATTTATTAATTGGTTTTAAAAAATAACAGCAAGCGTTTTTATCAAAAAATAATGATACTATCAGATAAAAATGAAAAGAAATAGATATTTTAATCAAAAACTGTTATTAAGAAAATATCTTTCACAAGGAAATCAAAAATTTCACAAGCTTCATCTCATATTAATAACTCAATATTAAGTTACACAAAAAAGTTATTGCATTTAAAAGTAGCTTGAATATTTCATGCAGTCATTCTGAATACAAATGAGCTAAGTAAAGCACCAAATATAAAATTCTCTTTTAGTAGAACATTATTCTTTTTACTTAAAAAAAAAAAAAAAAAAAAAAATCCTGAATTTCATCCAAATTTTTACAATTACAAAAAGGAATCTTTTGAATTAATTGATTAATTTATTATGGCAAGCATATTAGGATTATGTGCTTAGAAAGGATGCCTCTGCATAGGTCTTTATAAAAAACTAATAAAAAAAAAGAATGAATAATCAAAACTGGCTTTTATTTAACATTACACACACACATTTCCAGAAAAATATCAGGAATAGAACTTGGGGTGAATTAAGTTTTGCAGATGCCATTGGCAGAAAAGACTATTTTTACTGAGAAATTTATCTGGATTGCACGCAATTACTAAGCCCTAATCACATTAAATTCCTTAACTTTCATGCAGCACAATTTTATTTCAACATTTTGTATCAATTTAGACTGTTTTCACAGCAAATACACAAAATTTCCTCATCTTTTTAAATAAAATCTACACCCAGATAGACCACAGGCAGTGGGCAAAATAAATCTATATAAAATCAATTTAAAAATTACAAAAAATTCAGAGATCATAAAGACATACAGTGACCATCTAAAACATTATTAGCCTCTCCTGCACTGTTAGAATGCATTTGCTGAAGAGATATAGATGGCACATGACATGGTAGAATGTTATTTAATGTATGTTAAAAAATGGAAGGGGACTATGGGAAGTCTGTTGATTTAAGTGACTAAGCCAGATTGTGTGTCATCTGTTCCCAAACCTGGTACAATCCTTCCCCAGACACTTACCAAGGACTTGCAGAATCCATGCCACAAAGGCTTGCGGCTATTTTCCATGCCATATTGAAGCAATACTAGTATTGCTTCAACATAAAGGTAGTCATTTGTCTTGATGACCAGTATATACTCACAATTCATATGTTGATTATATACAGAAACATTTTTTATACATAATATAACAACACTTAATATTCTAAAAGCTCCTTTAAATCTCATGGAGGAATGAATGGGAGTTTGCTTACATTACATTTACAAGCTTATTTTAGAAATTAAATTTTACTCAATTCAAAAATACTAATTAAAACATTTACTTGGCAATGTCAGAGCATCAAAGATGAAACTAGCAAGCATAAGAGGCAAAAGTGCTTCTCCTCTTGAAACTAATTTTCCATCTCGCAGCTGTTCGGCTCTTTCTCTTATGATATTCATTTCTTTCTCAAGAAGTGGAAGCCTTTTCAAAAGCAACACAAGATCTTGCTCTTGATTAGCCAATTTTACCTGAAATCAGAATTGGTATTTACATGCTTGAATATTTTCAAGAGAAATTAACAAAAATATTTTTTAATGCTCAATTTTCTTATGAAATAAAGCAATTTTATTTTGCAAATAATGTATTACAATTTTTTTTTCAAATGTAAATGCTAAAAATGATTTGTTGTCATACATTTTCACTGCCTATTTTATGCCAGTACTTGAATTTCCAATAAGCAGGAACACAAAGAATGACAATGTCGAATATTATTCATAATAATTATTATTCTTATTAATGTCACTTGTATACTCTAATAATTCAACTACAAATCAATGCATTTATTGTATTTCATACTATGAGATGTATTAAATTGAACTTATGACTGCTTCAACTTTCAAGAACATAAAATGATGCATATACATTGACATGAAATATTTAAAACACAATGCATGTAGAACACTGTTTGCGAATGTCAAAATCTTTTCATTTACATGTAAAAATTTAACCATTTTGTATTAGATCAAATGACATTTCAAAATTATGAAAGTCACACTTAGATTGCTAATTGGAATTTTTAGTGATCGTATTATAAACCTAAAAGTCAGTTGAAGCTTTTCAACATTTCAGATTACAGACATCAAGATTTAGAAACTAAACTCACTTTAGAGTAAATGTTGAATTTTTTTAATCTCTAGTATCTCTGCATTACTTAATTTCTTGCTTACTTCAACCAGCAAGAAAAAAATATAGGTAAATTATAACTGATTAATTGACTAACTAGTTGTAAACTTCATTATGTAAGTTTCAATCATCAACATATGCACCAATCATTATGTAAGTTTCCTCACAATTTTATAATTTAAGAAAACTTATGAAACATCCATACTGACATCCAAAACTATATTAGAATCAAATAATTTTTCATGCAATATTAATATTTCAATAAGCAAAACATTTTAGAAAAGCAATGTCAAGTTGCATGATATACATAGTGTTGTAAATACCCATAAACATTTAAATCCTTTTATTGCATTGTTGCAATATTGTGTATCAGGACTAAAGAGAAGGGCTAGCTCATAGAGCGGTTCCCCCTGAAACAGGCAGTGAGGAGTGATGACGTAGTAATGATGGCACTGAGCGCGGAGATGGAATTGACAACATAGAAATTAGCGTTTTAAATTTGAAGAATAAGCGTTTAAAATGAGCTGTGTGTGAAAGATAGCTATAATTTGGAAAAGACAATGTTACTGCAGTATGCATTTTACACTGAACATTAAAAAATTTAATAGTACTTACTCAATTTTAAAATAATAGATAAAATGCGCTACTCTTAGCATAAAGTTCCTTTTTATTATTTGCAGGGATTTTTTTTTTTTTTCTTTAAATGCCTGTTTGTTTCTAATCATTTCTTTATCTGCATGTTAACTAAGAGAACTGTACTACTGCAATCTAAGTTTGAGTTTCAGCCTAATTGTAAATTTTACATTAGCATATTTTTCTCCCGATTCATTATAATAACATATATTTTTTTTTTTTTTTAAATAATTTTGTAACTTAGGCTTACATCAATATTTCATTTAAATAAATACATGTAAGATTGTTATCTTAATTTAGACAAAACAATTTTATTCATAGTACCTAAAATAATTATTTAATTTTTCAAAAGTGGGGGTTAAGGGGTCAGGTCTTCTTATGCCAATTACTTTAATATTATACTTTATAAATATTTTATCTAGAATGCTAAGCTAGCACAAAATCGAATCAATAATAACAGAGGATACAATAAAAATAACTGTAACAATAACTTAACAGAATTAGTTCTCATTTGAAATATGCTTTACGCTATTAACTTCTAAAATGCAATCTAGAAATATTTCAAATCAAAACATATTATATATACTTACTTTTTGTCTCTCGTTTCCCTTGACCATTAAATAATTTGGTTTTAGTTTGTGACACAATTTAATTCTCTTTAATAATATAAACATTTAAAACAGTTCCATCTTCTAAAACAAATCCTTTATGTAAAAAGTGGTTTCTCAGTAATTTGAGCCCACCAGAGGCCGAGCGGTAAAGTCGCTGAACACTGGTAGTTCGGTCCGAGGTTCGAATCCCGCGAACGGGCTGGCTGCATGGGCGTTTTCGTGGTTTTCCCCATGTGTAACGTGTATACGAGCCAGTTTCCCTTAGAAAGTCCTCCACGAAGGCATCCCTCCCCTTAGGCAGATAGCCCTAGTGTGCTTTGTCATAATTAAATACACCAACACTCAGTAATTTGAGGCAGTGCGCTAAATCTGCAAAAATCCATATTTTTTTCGTTTGGAATACTGGATTTGGAAAATGAGAACTATTAATCGAAATCTGTAACTCTTTCCACAAAGTAGTAGATCCTCTTAAATCAGACACTATTGCTTTCACTTCTACTCTAGATGATTGAATATGTCTTATGAGTGAAAAAAGAAGTTCTTTCTTCATTGGAGTGTTAAAATCAAAAAATATTGGTTGTTTCCACTGCGAAATGAGACCTCTGATTAAAACAAACTGCACTTTTTGAAAAGGACCGATTTTGGTCCAGTTTAGAATCTATGTGCATTTCGTCGAAACTGAGAACGCATATTTTTTCTACAGAATTCAAATATTGGCATCTTTTTTCATTTGCTAGTGCTAGGTAAAGGAATTCCCATTTTTTCTTTCCAAAAATCGTAACTTTTAGATGATAGAGCTCTTATGACAATGCAACGTGAAATATCTTCACTAGTCCACCGGATTTTTTCCTTCTTTTCTAGCAATGCGTTAATCTGCGTCTTTGTAAAAATATGCTTTAGACGTTTTTCCAAATTCTCCGATCTGTTCTGTTTTTTCCTAAATTTCGCTGTTTGGGATTTTAATTTCTGAATTTCCGATACAAATTTCTTTCTAAATGTCGTCCACCTTCTTTGTCGCTGAGCAAACATTCTAAAATCTTTCTTTTCTCTATTTTTCAATATTTTATTACAATTTTCTAAGGATATTATTTTGTTCTTCAAATTATCAATACATTCTTGTTTATCTTTACACTTAGGGCACTCAGGGATATTGTCACATAGGGCATTGTCACTTGTGAGTTTTATTTCGAAAATCATTCACATTTGATTTATTATTGTCAGCTTCAATTTCGTTCTCGGCCTCAAAATAAATTTTCTTTTGGGCTTAATTCGTGTAGTCTTTCAAAAGCACTCTGCATTAGTTTTTTCAAATGTCTCCGATTTCTTGGTGTTATTTGTTTTTACTGCACACGATAAATTTACTTTCGGCACAGCATTGCATTTCAACAGTTTCTTTTGCGGCAATCCAAGCAAGCGATTTCTCATGTCATCTTCATAATCACTGCACAGAAAATGTTCGCTGCAAATTCTTGCTTTTTTCACATTAATAGAATCCTGTCTTCGACATTTATGTATCCATTCTTTCGTCAAAAGCAAATTGTCCTTGGGGAAAGCATGAAATACAATATCTCTTCCTTTCGTATTTCTATAAGTGTTACGGCACGTTGCTACAGCACAAGAAGCCATATTTCATAAAGGATACTTTAAATATAGAATTTAAAAGGAAAACTGACTAAAACTATATATACACAAATTATTTTAAATATTTGCATTATTAGAAAACAAATATGTATGATTAAAATTAATTTGGGATATGCGATCTCCAGAAAAGGGGGGACTCGCGTCGGGGAGGAGTCAAACAAAGGAATGACCTAGCCCTTCTATTTATCCCTGATTGTGTATTTATTCATTTAGTTATTTGTTTTGTATTTGTAGCCACATGTTTTTATACAAATGTTTGTTTTTCCTTTTTTCATTTCTTACATGTATTGGGAAGTTTCCTAAACTTCCCAAAACTCATACTACATCAGACACAGACCTTGTTATTGATTCTGAAAATTCATCAGTTATTGTTAATCAGCTGTCAGATTCAGTGTTAAGTTGGCTATCTGCTATTGAGAGTTTACAGTGTAAGTGATTTTGGTAATTGATGATATTTTTTGTGGGCTAATGAGGAATTGCTTACTATCCACATTCTCCTTCAGCTATTTGTAGCTTTTATTATGCTGTGTGTACTTAATTTTTTAAATAAATTGTTAATTTCTTGCTGTTTAACTGAAGTGAACATTTAGAGCATTTAGAATATTAGAACATTTAGTACACACGCACATATATCTATAAAAATATGAAAGCAAACTTTTAATTCACAATAGCCCCTTTTATTCTTCATTTTAATTTGGGTATTTCCCTCTCTGACCTAAAAATAATAACTGCTTTTAATATATCAATCTAAACTGCATCATTTTCAAATTAATTCATAAGATCTTGCATGACTCTGCAATGAAGATATGTTTTAGACAATCAGTGGATAAGATATCAATCGGGGGGGGACCTCTTGACACTCTCTAGGTTTTCTTCTGAATGCATTGCTATTTTCCACTTGCTTGCTTCCATATAACACACAGCAGCTCATTTCTCTGTATCATTCATTACCTTGGGATGTAAACTCCCAAAGATTGAGTGCAAACTGACCTCATACTGATGTGTAACTTGTATATGTGTTTAAACAATTGTTATCTTTTAAATGCATTGCTTTTTTCTGCTTGTTTGCTTTCAACTAACGCACAGTAGCTCACTTCTCTGTATCACTCATTGTCTTGGAATGTAAACTCCCAAAGACTGGGTGCAGACTGCTCCCATACTGATGTGTAACTCAAATATGTGTCTGAAAAATTAAGTTATCTTTTAAATGAATTGCTTTTTCCTGCTTGCTTCTATCTAATACATAGTGTCTCATTTTCTTTATCATCCACTGTCTTGAGATTTAAACTTCCAAAAAATAAGATAGGTCGTAGATTGCATCCATGATAATGTGTGAATCAAAATATGCATCTCAAGAATTAAAGAAAACCTGGGTTAGTGTCAAAATGTTTTGGTTTCTTATTCACTAATTGGCTACATCATATCTGCACTGCAGTGCTATGTAAGACTGCATGATGTGGATAAATTTGAAATGACAATGTTTAGATTGCTATATTAAGAGCAATTACTATTTCTAACAAAGGGCACAGGGCAAATACCCAAATAAAAATAAAGAGTAAAAGAGGCTACTGCAAAATAAAATTAAAAATTTGCTTTCATATTATTTTACATATATATCAGCTACAGCATTTATCTTGATTATGACTGATCTGATTGTAAACAGAACTATAATCAATTGTAGCTATCCTAAAATTTTTATAGATTATAACTGTGGCAATAACTGTTCAGTTATTTTTCATTCTGCATATTATCAATAGATTAGTAGCTTAAAGTTCTTTATGTTTTCTTGTGGGTGTATAAGTTAATTTTTGCATTATGTAGACATTTACTACGTACTTACATGCTTTCAAACAACAAATCTGAAACACTAGTATGCATTCTTTAATCTGAATGCAGTGTTTTCTGTAAATTAGAAACATGCTAAATTCTTATATATTATTCCACAGACATTCTAATTAAAGCAGTTACAACTTATCTGCTTCGGAAATGTGTTGCCCATTAGGTTCACCCTCTGTTTTTCTCTGGTTAACATACTATTTAATACCTGCATAATTATTAAGCATTATATTATTACAATATTTAAGTCTACATTATTATTAAGCACCTCACACCATGAATAGACACATTATTAAGTTTTATAAAGATTTAAATTATTTAGAAGCATGTTTATTGCTTTAAAATCATTCATTCTTTTAATCAGTAGCAGAATGATGAAATTTGGAAGATAAATTAAAGATCTTATGATAAGCTGAATGGTAACAACCTGAGAATTCACTATATGCAAAGATGTATGGAAGATGAATTAAATGTGTTTTGTTTTGCATAGCAACCACACTTGCCAGGAGTTGCTACTACATTCTTTCTATTCCTATCCTTGTTCAGCTTCAAACAGAATAAAACTGTTATTGTAATATTATTATTAGCATTGTGCACAGTAAAATTAAAAAAAAAAAAAAAAAAAAAAAAAAACTGTAAGCTATTCCAACGGAAGGTAATAATTAATAATTAAGCCTAAGGATAATATATATACTTTTTTTTTCAATATTATATAGTCAAAATTAAAATAGCATTGTTAAGAATTTATAAAATGGACATAGGCCCTTTTTTTTTTTTCTATTAAAGCATAGCTTTTAATATGACAGAGCTACCTTAGAAGATACATAAAAACATAGACTACTCAAAAGACATACAAACCTCTAAGGCTTTAGTTGATGCAGGAGGGCGTATCATTTCTAACCCAAAGAGTCCTACACGAAAGGCAAGATGGTGATGTTCAGGATTTTCTCCAAGTACTGAGCATAGAAATGCTACTTTAGCTAAAGTAGCTGATGCCAGTAAGCTGACATGGTGGCTGGCTGGGTTAAAACGGCGAACCTTTTTACCTCGACAGGCAGGAGGTGGCACTTCCACAGTTAAATTAGGAGGACTAGCAAGCAATTCCTCTGCCAAACGAATAGCAAGCATGCATGCTTCATGCGAGTGACCATGGGCATGAAGAGCTTCAGCTCGTGCAAATAAAACCTACATAAATAAGAAACAGAATGTGAGTTTAGGGATGCAAAGAATGTTACAGAATGCATACAAATATAGCATTTCTTCACAAAAATATTTATTGAATGAAAAATATGGTACTTGTATATTAACGCAATCATCTTAGTGTAATCTGGTGATTTTTTACAGATGAAAAGATAAAAATTATTTATTGGGTTGCAAGTTGGTGTTTTCGTGACTTTTTTTAAAAAAAAATTCCCAAACTATCGATATCATAAAACAACACACATTATCAAGATATGAAAAAAAAAAAAAAAAAAAAAAAAAAACCCTTCAAATACAAATTTAATTATTAAATAATGATTATGTGATGCACTAAAAAAGTCTTAAAAAAAACATCATTACATCGCATAAACCTCAACAACACCAGCTAACTACACAACACATCTCCTCGTTGTTTAATTTAGAGATTTAAATTCAGTATTCCTGCTGGGACTTGACTAGTTCCTTCTATCACCAGCAAATTCCAAAAGTGCCTATTTTAAAATTAAGTCATGATTTGTTTATGATTGTCAAGGTCATGGTTTTACATCATGGTTAGTGTGTAAAAAAAAAAAAAAAAGAAAAGAAAAGAAAAGAAAAAAAGAAAACATCGGAACTTGGAATAGAACAAAAAGAAAACTTATATGAAAATGGCATCATTGTTTGACTGAAGAATTGTCATGAGTATGCTTGTCAGAAATTGGCAACTTCTCAAGTCATTCTGGCATAATGTTAAGTGCAAAAAATATTGATTTATTAATGTATATACCAAAAGCTTTTAGCTTGAATGCCTCCAATCTAAAAAAATTAAATGATTATTTTGTACTGAGACACCTAACACATAGTTTGAGAAACATCTTTAATTAATTACAATATTAGTGATGTTAATAAAAAATCAGTTGCATATGTTATATAAATATGCATTTGTTAAATATATTACAATTTACATCAATTAAATATATTATTAAAAAAAGGGCAAAAATTATTAAGATTCAAGCTTTTGGCTCATCTAGCTTAGCTAATTAAAGTGACCTCTCTATACAGCAATCAACAATATTTTATTTAAAATTTCCTATAAAATATATTTAGAATCTAGAAGTAAGAGCTTTCAGAATGAAACTCTTAAATGTTTTTTTTTTTTTAAATACATTTAAAAAGTACTTGCAGATAACCATAGTTATGCTACCTATGCATATCATTGGTTGCATCCATTAATGCATACATAAAGTTACAGATGTCTGAAAATTCTAAAACTATTTCAGCTTTGATCATGGCAAGGTTTTATGATTTAATTTTTTTTTATGCAGCCTAACAGATGAAAAGTTTATAAGATAGGGGGCCAACATTTCAGAGTTACAGGCAAAGTTTGAATTCCCTCATACAAGCTTCCTCAAGAATATATCTTGAATGCAAGAATAATAAATATCATGCACAATAACAAAATGCTTGCAAGAAGATTTTATACGAACATGACAAGAATCATTTCATGAGACTAGAGTACAGTGCTGCCTTAAATTAAACCACAATTCAACGCTGCAGTTTCAATAAACATTAAAGATTGAAGAATATTACTTTCAATACACTATGTGGACATCAGGAGGCAACAGCTAGTCAGGCTACCTCAGATAAAAACATGACACAGAGCTATACAGCTCACCTTGGCTCGGTAATCTGGACACTACACATCTAATGACTAAGAAATGATCAGTCGCATTTCCAGTTGTTCCGAGCTGATAAAAAAGATCTGAATGTGGAAAACATAAAACCATGAACCCATGGATACCACATGCTCAAGAGTACAGTATACAAAGTACTAATGCTAAATAATATTCTAGTATATCTAAAAATGTGTCAAAATAAGCAACACATACACATCCTTTCTAGTGAGTTACACCAGCTCATATCCTGCATTCATTTTGATCTGCCCAAGCTTCTCATATAGGGCAATGCACAGCCACACAAACCTACAGATGCCAAATCATAGTTACAGAAATACTTATTTGAATTTGGTATCTTACTAGAGTCATTGAAGTCACCATATCTTAACGTAAACAAATACATTTAGGATGCCATACAACATACTGCAGAATATAGAAATCCTACATGAATCACTTTGCAGGAAGTGCGATTCTCATTGCTTACAGAATACTGCTGCATACTCACAGACACTTTTTCTGCTGTCCTATGCTCCCATGAAGATTCTATTAATTATTAGGCTAAATGTGTTTTTTTTGGGGGGAGGAGAGAAGGGAATGAAATGTATATGAATCATTTGATATAAAAATATACAGTGCTTAAAACACAGCCACTACATAATTGTAAATAAAAAGTTACAATAATACAACATTGTTGCGTGCGTACGGGTTCGTTACGAAATGAATTCACAAGTCCGATGAAAAATGAACAAAAATTTATTATTATCACAACAAAAATGCTTAAACCTTCTCAAATTATCATGCAGTATTACAATACCTCACGGTAGTAATCTTTTAACTACTCAAATGTCCAATAGAACGTAATTCAAAACAGCTAAAGAAAGCTAATCCGCGAATTCGCTACAATCAACAAGAGCAGTTTTCTAAACAACAACAAACTAAGCAACTACCACAAACTGAGATGTTTTCCTCTTTTTATAAGATTTTAAAATCACGCGCTAGAATTTTCCAGCACTTTCTCGAAATCAAAAAGAGATATTTATTTATTTAACGCACGCGCTCTTGTATTTTTAATTTTTCCGGCTTAGCTTTCTTTTAATATTCGTCACGCGCTGCCATTTAATATAAATAAAACCATTTAATTTATAATTGAACTAACATTAGCTTTTTAAATACCAAATTCGTAACACTGTCCCCTTCCCAAGGACTGCACGTCCCGGGCAGTACAATCCCTGGACAGGAAGCTAAACTTACAACTGTGGCATAAATGCAACTGAGGCATAAACATTACATTACAATATCAAACAATATAAACAATAAATGCAATAACTAACTTAAACAAATCAAATGCTATCAAATACTAAATACAAAACAAATACTAAATACAAAACAAATACTAAATACAAATCAAATACTAAATGCAAATCAAATACTAAATACAAATCAAATACTAAATGCAAATCAAATACTAAATACACATTTATAAACAAAAAGGACCATGGTCTGATACTATTTACAATTATTTACATTACGTACTATGGCCATAGTAATGAGCTAACCTGTCATAATGAACGACTTTAGGTTTAGAGTTCGAAGACTTACGAATCCAAACCACGACGTCATTCAGTCTTTTTAGGACTGTATACGGGCCATCCCAAGGTGACTGTAATTTCGGACAAAGTCCTTTCCGTCGAGTCGGATTCCACAACCACACCTTGTCTCCTTCGTGGAACTGATGTTCAGGTAGCTCTTGTGTCGTAGCGGGTCTTCATCTTCTCCGTCGCCAAGTTGACTCGCTCTCGTGCAATGTTGTGCATCACTTCAAACCGGGCCTGGAGATCTTGAATATATTCCTCAGACGATGAAGGAGCATCCGGACGGCGGCCAAACAATAGATCACAAGGCAGACGAAGGTCACGACCGAAGAGCACCTGTGATGGAGAATAGCCGGTAGTCTCGTGGACAGCACTGCGGTAAGCCAGTAAAAAGAGTGGTAATTTCTTGTCCCAGTCCTGTTGGTTTCTGGAAACCACTAATGAGAGGTTATTAAGGATGGTTCGATTGAACCTCTTTACCATGCCGTCCGACTGGGGATGCAATGGCGTCGTTTGAGTTTTGTCAATGCCGAGTAGTTTGCATAGTTCTTTGATTACTGCCGAGGCAAATGTTGTTGTTCCCTGATAGGAATGTAACTGAAGAGGCACTCCGAACCTGGAAATCCAGTGCTGTATCATTACCTCAGTTACTGTGACAGCCTCTTGATCAGGAATAGGATAAGCTTCAGGCCACTTGGTGAAGTAATCAATGACAACGAGTATGTATTTGTTGCCATCAGCAGTTCGTGGCAGAGGTCCCAGGATGTCAAAGGCGATACGTTCAAAAGGCGCCCCTACGTTGTAACGTTGCAGCTTGCCTCGGCTGCGTCTCCTCGGTCCTTTCCGACCTGCACAGGCATCGCAAGATCGGCACCACTTTTGCACGTCATCCTTTGCATTATTCCAGTAAAAGCGCTCACGGACTCTCTGCAAGGTCTTCATTATTCCAAAGTGACCTCCAGTAGGGGTGCTATGTAACTCTTTAAGGACATCAGGAATGCGGGATCTTGGAAGTATAAGTTGCCATCGGAACGTCTTCCCATCATCCGATTCGAATTTCCGGTATAAGACGCCGTTTCGAATGTGAAGTGAATCCCAGAGTGCCCAATATTGTTTGGTTATAGGACTACAGATAAAAATGTCCTGCCCAGGTAGGTTTTCTGTTTGATGACTCCATTAAATCAATTATGGGTTTAATGTCGTGGTCTTCCAGCTGGTCTTTCCTGACTTCATCATCACTCCACGGTTCTCGATCAGCCAATGTTGATGTTGTAATTTGTCTTGCGACCGGAGTCAGCAGCTCGTATTTCGCTTCCACCCTGGAACAATATCGGCAGCTTTCTTGGCAAAGTCTTCTAGACAGGGCGTCGGCGTTTCCGTGTGATGATCCCTTACGATGACGGATAGTGATGTCATATTCTTGGAGTCTCTGTATCCACCTGGCTATTTGATCCTCAGGATTCTTGAAATTTAAAAGCCAGGTCAATGATGCATGATCGGTGCGGAGCAGGAATTTTCTGCCGTATAGATAGTGATGGAAATCTTCTACAGGCTTTGACTATGGCGAGCAACTCTTTCCTGGTGACACAATAATTCCTCTCCGGTTTAGACAGGCACTTGCTCCAGTATGCCACTACACATTCTTGGCCGTCTATTTCTTGGGACAAAACAGCACCGACACTTTCATTACTCGCGTCGGTTGTCGAGAATAAATGGTCGGTCAAGCTGAGGATACGTC